CCCCATGGAAAAACGATGCAAACTTAGTAGCTTGGAATAACTACCAGAAAGTTTTCAATCATGTTTTAAAAAGGATTCAAGAATCAAAAGGTCTGCAAAAACACAGTAGGAGAACTGCTGTAAACCTTGGTTATTATAGGGCAATGTTTTACCCCATATGTAGGTTAGAAGACATATATAAATGCTAGATCAACTTCAAGTACTTTATGATGCACACTCCATGATTACAAGGTTAAACTGACACACAATTATATTTCTAAACAAACTTTTTTAAAAAAAAAGTGTAAAGGATTAATCTGTAATTAACGAAACAAAGCATTTTCCTACTCATTAGTGATTAATAACAAAGGATGAATGACGTTATGTTGTAGCCACATGATTGTTTATAACAGGTGTTAGTAACGGCGAATTCCTTGTACTATAGTACCCTTGGTGCCAGATCCTCAGAGAGTCAATTGATGAAGAATGGGGAAATGAATTGCAAATCTGCCATTCTACTGCGCAATTCCTTTCCTCATTTTTCATTCATTCACTCTCTGAGGCTCAGGCACCTAGTGTAGATCTGGGGCAACGAAATCTTAAAGGAAAACATTTATTTGAATCACAAGAAAATCGTCCTGGAAAACACAGATCATATTTGATTTTCATAGATGCCCAATAATATTTTGCGTAAAATATATCTATTAAAATTTTATTCAATGAGTTCTCTTTTTTCTTAGAATTCGAACCAACCCTTTCAGACAAAAATAAGTTTCGGACGACTTTTTGTCCGAAAGTTTGATCGTCCGACTTCCATTTGTACCTGTATTTTGGCTATACAAAATTTCATAGAAAGTTTATCTACGTCAACGAGACCAGCTTTTTCCTTTTTCAACGCAAGTATGAAATTTTCTGAAAAAAAGTTTGAGCAGCTGGATCTAAAAATAGGAGGGGTAAAATTGTCAGAAGCAGAGTCGAGAGTCCAGGAACTTAGGAAATTCACTTTGACCAAAGCAAATAGATTTTAGTTGCAGAAAAGTAACAGTTCTTGCATGCGTCTAGCCAGTGGGACTAAGGATTATTAACAAAATTGAGGTAAAGACGATGGATCAAAGCCAACATGACGCGGTTGATATGGATCACCGCGAAGTCGAATTTCGAATTATTTTCAAAATAGGAAGTAGGAAGGTTTTGGTTTAGAGATAAATAGAAAAATATCTAAGCAATACACAGTCTGAGCTAGGGCTGAAAGTACGAGGACGAAGCGATTCGAACATGGGGCTCACTTTTGGCACTGTGCTTGTCGCTTTCATTTTATGCAGTTTGGATCATAGTTCTGCAGACTTTCTTGATAGCAGCTACCTTGCGCGAGTGAAAGCAAGGGTTTCTAGTCAGTATGGCTCCGTACCAACTCATGTTAACGAAGTCCTGGCTGTCCTCGACAAAAATCTAAACCTTCTCAGCTGTCTACCAACCAAGAAGGTGGATTCGCGATGCTACGAATCTCCCGGATTCTGCAACCATCCTAAGCTTAGAGTTGGTGGCAAGCCTCTTGGATTAAAGTTCGGTTTCTGCAAGAACCCATGGACCATTAAGATTGGCTTTAAGTTGCCCAAAGCCCCGTGGTACTTGAAATGGGGGTTTGGACCAATGGTAATTCCGATACATGTTAACGAAAGAGAAGGCGTTGTGAAAATAAACTCGGTAACCAAAGGAGATGTCAAAGCATTGGGGTTCTTCAGGCTTGTTAAGGCCCAATTGAGCATAAATGGCATTTTAAGATGGGACTGTACCAAACCACGTGACAATCAAGCGACTAGAGTGCGTTATAACACAGGATACGATACCCGTTCAATCAGGCTGGATTACAACAAACTCTACTACAAATTGCATGTTCGCATGGAAGTGAAGAAGAAGAGATTTCCCTGTTTTTGTTACAGATGCTACAAGGACTACTGTCGCGATATTGTAAACAAGAAAGGATATTTTGGAACAGGCCCAATCTCTTGTATCAAAGATGTACAGGATTACAACCGTAAAGAGTATGAGAAATACAGGAAACCGTGGCGTTATATATTTTCGTCTCGACGCCGTCCATTACCTTTGATTTAAGAAATGTAGAAGCTTGACAAGAAGCCGAAAAGAGGAAAAAGCAGCCTTGATACAGAAGCATAGAATTAGCAACTTTTACTCTAATCCTTCTGTTTGAATTTAGCTGACTTTTTATTAAAAAAACAATGTAATCTCCAAATATAGATTCGAAACTGGTTTGAATAAGAATTATGCTTATGCTCCATCGATTTTGTTCTAACAATCTTTTGGTAGTACAAAATTTAAAAATGGATTTAAAAAAACCAAATATTTGAGTACTTTTCGTCTGGCACCCTTCAGAGTTTAAAACGTCAGAACATAGATCGAAAACCCTACGCTAGGAAAGATATATACCCAGTTGTGGATCGAAAGAGACCAGTCATTCCCTAATCAGTGCCGCTTACCTATAGAGAATGTTACCAATAAACTCCTTTTGTCTACACAATAGCGGTTTTTCGTGCCTATGTAGACAGACTCCAAAACTGATTTTTTCTAAGCCCGGAACATTATCATCCGCACCAACGATTTGTCTGCTCTTCTTGAAAAATCGATGTTTCTTGAAGACTCAACAGAACGCATTAGTTATCATTTTCTTGAAATTTTATTTGATTCTTGCTATCAAACGTTTCATAAATGTTTTTCCAAGTTCATTACCAACAGTCACGATGGAATCAATTTTGTCATTTGCATGAAAGAACAAGTTTTTTGGTCACAGAATAACTAGGCTCTGTGTCGCACTGACCTACAATGCCTGCCAAAAGTCCTCGGAACACCCTGAGATTGCTGTGAATTGGCGAGTCCCCTTCTATTTCCATGTCAATAAGGAGGGTGTTGCCCCCCTTTCCCCTTATACAATTTTGATTCCCTAGCTGAAAACCATAGCTTTGTAAAAATGTATCACTTGTACATGTAGGATTTTTCATATTTCCGTGGCACAACATTGTACAAGGGGGGAGGGGATGTTGCAGCTCGTGCACAATTTAAATTATAGCAAGTGTTCCAAGACTTTTGGAAGGCATTGTACTGTTGACGTTTTATCAGGAAAGAGGAATTGTAGCAGGAAACGTTATCCTCTCCAGTTTTGGTCTGTGACGCAATTAGAAATGTTTCAGACAGGGTAGGGCCAATGAAGTTCACGTTTTGTAAAGAAAAAATCAAAATCCGCACGTTTGCATTCCTATGTTGCTTTGTCGCTAAATCGTTTAAATATTTCAGACTTTCACTTGGCAATTTAATTGATACTAACTTAAAGTAGTGTTTGATATTTTCTCAGGGAGGCATGCACTCAAAGACGGCAACGGGGGCAAGTACCAAGAATAGGACAAAACAATGGTAAAATAAAGAAATTGCTAAATTCCCCCAGGGCCGCTGCCCCATTGCCCTCATGGCACAAAGTCCTGGCCCTTTCCTCTACGAGACTTCTCAGGGATGAAATTTTAGTAGTACTTTGAAGGGAACTCGGTTGGGAGGAATTGTTTATTAAAAGAAGATGACAATAGCATCTAGGTGTGATTAGTAAAGGATATTAAAACTTTTTTGATATTATAAAAGAACCTGTCTGGCTATGGTCCTTATGAAGAATAAAATGCTATTTGAGGAAAAGTAGTCTGAGATCTTTAAATGCTGCAGAATCGAGCAGCTAGTTGATGCGCCTGCTATGCCACTGATTCGCAGTCTGGGTTGGCCAACTAAAGGTGACATTGCTGTTCCGCTTTTAATAATGATTATTAGAAGCGGAACAGCTACAACAAGGTACAAGCAGTTAAATGGGCTCGTCCCAGAGTACCTTTCCAACCTGTTCGAAAAAAATTCGACTCGAAATGTTAGAAAACTGAGAAATACCGATACCGATCTTTCGAAAAACAAACAATGGGCAGAGAGCTATTTCTTTTCGTGGACCTTAGCTTTGGAACCAACTTGAACCTGACGCAAAACAGGCACCTTAATCAAAAAATAACTATGAACGACCATTCCTATTTCGTAGTATCTATCTTCTTACTTTTTAAAGTTTTTGCCACGGCCCCCTGAAAAGCAGTTCTCATGGACTGACGGGGCTACCGTGCCTAAATAAATAAAAATGTAAATGTAATGTAAATATAAAGATCAGACTCTCGGGGTGGAGGAGACGGGGGTGGAGCAGTCCTTCCGAGCCTAATCTCAGGCTAGAGGAAAAGCAACGATAATGATACATGAATTTTGGCACAGGAATCAAAGGCTAAGCTAAAGAAAATTGTGGGGGAGGGGTAGATTTTCCAAACAAATATGGCCTTTCTAAAGTGAATGTTAGCAACAATACAGCGTGACCAACTTGAGCCATTTGAGAATACACAGATAACCTTAGGCAGGAATGGAGTGATATGGGTGAATTTTTATTGATATTATATACCTTCGAAGTTTACCCCACCTTTGGCAACCCCCTGTAAGGAACGACCTATCAGAACCACGTTATTGTTACCAAATCATAAACTGTTGCATGCAATAGGTGAGTTAAGGATACGGTTGTAAAACACGACGGCTCTTCTTTATACGACAATTATTTTTCTACGGGTTACCAAGAAACCAAAAAATCAAAAGTTCCAAAAAATTAGGGTAAAACGGAATCAGCCCGAGTGCTGTCTGTTATCAGGATAAAATTTTGTTGAAAGTTTGTGTTTTAAAATGGCTAATGAAATTATTAAGTATTTTAACTCAGTAACTAATAATAAATACGAATAGCGAAAAATATCTGGTGAATTGCGCGTTAGAAGTGATGGCTGAGATATGGCCAAATGAGCAAGGCTTTTTCTTTTAAATCATTGTCATTTGGTCTTGGTTCATAATTTTGTCTAATCTTTAAAATTCCTTGCTGAATTTTGCTGCCCTTTCAGACTATGATTCAAGATTAAGAAATTCTAAAATAAATTTTTGAAGAGGTCACAACTTTTTGAAGCACCGCATCACACTGTGACCGCATCAGCAACAAATAGCAGCAACAACAACAACAGTTATGTTGTTGCAAGGATAGGCCTAAGTTTACGACTGTTGAGGTGCAGAATGTAAGTACAGAATCTTTGGCTATCGTATCAATCGTGTCACCATATGATAAAATTGCTTTTTAATGATAAGTCTTCTAATTTTCAAAATTTTATTTTGCTTCCAAATACAGTCCTACCAACCCGTTTGTATCTTTGCGCGGGGATTCCAACTCTCCCGTTTTGGCAGGGATCCTCATTCGTTTCGCTTCCCATTTTAGGGCATGTCCTCTCGTTTTCTTTTACCTAACTTTCTTTAAGTTGACATATATTTTTCGTATAAGGTAACAAAAGGATATACTCTCAAACTAATGGGCGTAAAATTTAGTTACTTTGAAATATGCTTCGTTTTGCTTCTATTATCACCACAGACCTCCAACAGCACATTTCAATGTCTTTCCATTGCTCAGAAAAGACAGGTTTAAGGCTCTTTCTAGTCCTCATAGCTATGTTGTTGGGTAAGGAGCCGATAATACAGTAAGAAAAAAAGAAAGGGAATCTCAGGACTCCCATTTTACATATTTCGAGTTATCAAGACAAAGAGTTTTTCATATTCCTTTTGCCCAGACCAAGCTGCAGAGTAAGGCAGTTTCCAAAAAAAATATTAAGTGTACAAGCTGGAAACTTTGCATCTAGCTCAGACAAGTTTATTTTGAAAATATCTCACTGCATGCCTGAAATTACTCACATTTAGAAATTTTTAGTAAAAATCATATAACTTATTACACAAAAATAATGTGGCACATTCATGTCTGCTTAATTTATCAGCTGTTATTAAATGTCTAGCAATAAATAAACGTCTGTTTATTTTATTTCACTTCAATTTTTATGCAACGTGTCAAAACTCCTGAAAATAGCCAAATTTTCGATTATATATATCTTAAGTATGTTCTTATATATGGAAAAATGAGGATAACAGAAAGCATCCAAAATGGCATGATCGGATAAAACTTAGGTAACAAGGACACTGTCCTAGTTCTAATCAAGATACAGAGAAAATTAAGGTACTTTTATATAAGGAACATTTGAATAACTTTTCTATACCATAAATCCTGGAATAAGCCCCCACGCTCGAATAAGCCTTTACACTCAAATAAGCCCCCATGGGGCTTATTCAAGGAAAGCATGATTACGAATGATATCTTATTTCAAGAAAGCTCCCACAGGACAATGGCCTTTTTGTAATTTTTCAATTTATTGCATTGAGAAAATTGTGTTGTTTGAGGAAAATACTAAACTCTGAAATAAGCCCCCCCCCCTGTCGAATAAGCCCCCACCCAAAAATTATTTTTTTGCAAAAAGCCCCCAAGGGCTCATTTGAGGATTTATGGTATATATTATCATTATCAATTGTTTCTGCCTGAAATTCAATATCTTTGTCATCATTTTAAACCTTCTCAATCCCTAATATTGGAGTCATCAACATACTCTCCAGTCAGAGGGTACTTGACCAATCTCACTGTTTGCTCAATCTCTGATCGCATTAATTTGTTCCATGTTATTTGGTATACTGCATCATTTCCATGTGCAAAGACATTTTAGAAAACTATTTTGGGTGTGCGCTTGCCATATTCTGCAGTCTTGTGTGCAGGTAACAAAATTTGCCAGCTGCGCACTGAATTGTAAATTTGAATTTTGACCCTCAAGACGTTTGAAAAATAAACAAGAATCATTACTCTATGATATGTTCTAAAATACAGGAAAATACAAAAGATCTTATGTCAGTGCTTGTGACTGTTTCAATTCTGCAACAGTTGACAAAATTGTGAAAGCAAACTTAAAACTTAGCATGGCTAAAGATTTGGAAGATGGTATTAATCAGCAAAAGTTGTTGAAAAAACCTGCAAGAAGTAGGCATGAAGGTGCTTACAATAAGATATCATCTTGTAATGAATAACTTCTGCACTTTCTGCAAACTTCTCATTAGAGATTTTGGAGTTTTAAAGTTGCTCCGAATCTGTGTTAGGATATATACAGAAAAATCATTCAATTTATATAATTAAGTAACATGCCTGGTAAGGCTGTATTTGAAAATCATTTTCAAGCAGGGGCAGACACTTGGTCAAATATTGGGGGAGCAAGCCTATTGTTTTAATAAGATGATGTCACATTTCCCGTTGTTTTAGAACAAAAGACCATTGTCCTTTAAAGTATTGAGGGCAGTTGCGCCCGTGACCCCCTAAGTGTCCGCCACTGTTTTAGAGTTGGTATAAGGCATTTAAGTGAATCATTTAAATTGTGATAGGGCAAGGGAAAAGGACACAAGAGGGCGAGAGAAGGTCCAAAGAAAAAAGGACAGAAACAGAAAAGTTTCAAGGGATTCTCCAAGCCCAAAAAGAAGAAGTAAAGGATCTAGCGATAAGGTCAGAGACAAAGACAGGAAGCAAAGAAGAAAAGCAAGTCCATCTTCAGAGAGGTAAATATTTAAAAGTGGTTCATATTATCTAATGGTCTAACTGCTTGTTAATCATTAAATGTATCCATAATTGCCTCTTAAGGCTGATTTCCACGAGGCGAACTTCGCAGCGAATTCGCGGCGAAATCGCTGATGAAGGCAGCAAGGCATGCGCAGTTTTGATTTTTGATTTCGCAGCGAATTCGCAAGAAAGTAGAAAAGAGTTCTACTTTTTCTCGGGGAAATATTTCGCAGCACCTAATAACCAGTCAAAGCATGGTAAATTTGCTTGATTTGTTAAAAAATAATCTAGGAACATTCGTCATGCAAGCAGTTCTTAAAATAGGCGCCTTAAAGTTGAGTTTTGGAGGAAATTATTATATAATTTCGCAGCGAATTCGCAGTCTCGTGGAAATCAAAGACCATTTCGAAGCGAATTCGCTGCAAATTTCGCCTCGTGGAAATCAGCCTTTAGTTCACCTAGAAGTAATTGGAAATGACATCGCCTCCAGAGACATAACGAAAAAGCAATCCATGTGATATCTTTTGATTCATATTAATGGATACTCAACAAAAAACATAAACTTGATTTTGTCGATGACAAGCCTTGAACCTAAAAAGTCTCTTCAGTGGCTGCTTTTAACAACTAGAAAATAATTTTTGCCCTTTCCTTCCGGTAAGCACTCTATACTTGTAAAATAAAGATTTTACTTTCATATTACTTGCTTCATCCGTATCTTATTTCATTATTATTAATTCATTCAAGTTCTAGTGACAGTTCAGGGTCAAGCAGCTACAGCTCATCGGCAAGCTCTTCCAGCTACTCATCAGATTCATCTGACTCTAGTTCAGGAAGCAGTGACTCAGAAAGTAGCTCAAGTAGTGCATCTTCCTCAGATGGGGGAAAAGGTAAGATATTCCATGCAGTTATCTTAGAATTAATACAGTATAATCCAGTTATAATGTACTTTAAGGGACCAGCGTATTAAGTATCTTATATCCTAAGTACGTTGTAACAAGGGTAAGTAAAAATTGATTAAAACCAAGCACACCTTTTGCCGGGACCAAGCACACCAGTACATTATATCCGAAAGTACGTAATAATCGAGTACGTTATAACGGGATTCTACTGTATGTGCTTTTCTCACAGTGACTTTTAGTGGCAATTTCTTATATGATTAAAAGATTTGCATTTTAAATTTCGCACTATATAAGAACCTTAATTATTCGAAACTCATTTTGAACAAGGATGAAAAATTGATCTATGATGAATAGCCTGTTAAAAACCTGACCCCAAATAAAGTCAGTTTTCAATTCAATCTTGCTTGCCCTTTACTTCTTCCTAAAAGAACAGTTAAAATTTAGATATTGTTCTATTTTGTAGCATCAACATTTTTCCAATATATCTTGCGTAATTTATATGTCTTTTCAAATTTCTGTGTATAAAAGATCCAATGAAATAGATGGGGTGCTTTTTATTTGGCTGCTGTTCTTCTGAATGAAAGACTACCAACTCTTTTGAGAAGAGAAACAAAACTGGCAGTATTAAAGGGGGTTCTAATTTTATAGGTATCTGAAAATGTCTCTCTGAAATGTTTATCAATAAAAACAATATAAATAGGGGTCCAATATTACCACTTCTGCTTTCATTTGTAAGTTAGAGCTTCCTTTCACTTTAATGACCTTAAATAAAATTTGAAGCAAGAATTCAGTGTTTTGCTTTTGATCAAGCCTACACCCAATATATTTGAATTTTTGTTAAAATTTCTCTGTGTATTTACTAAACCGTTTAGACTATTTGACTCAAGACTAAGACTAAGTCACCATTGACTCAAAAATATTGACAGTAAATTGCTCATTCAGCAAAAAATTGCTCATCCATAGCTTCAGCAAGGGCTGCCATCATAGAATTTGTCCAGCCAGAACTTTTCTTACATTTCTGTTGAAAAGTCAGGCACTGGATTTCTTATCAGTGTATATTGCAAGCCTACTTTCACTGGTCAGTACAAATGCTGGAATTCTGTCTGCCTAAAACATTGCATGCCTCCTCGATAAACCATGTATTTTCAATACCATCAAAGGACACCCCTCCCCTCACAAAATGGTGGACACCTCGATACAATAGACAAAATACTTGTCAAACTTCCTTTCCAAAGGCAAGGTTTTGTCACAATGGAATCCACTCTGAAATTGGCAGCAAACCCCTTTTGCTTCATGTGATATCTATATAAGTTACACTTTTCTTGCATTTTGTAGCAGTGTTTTGGGTTATTTCAAAGTTAAATAGAAAGCAAATTTTGGGTTTTACTCTAAGAAATCATTGTCATTTCTGAAAAGATTTTCCAATCACAACCTCCTCCCCCTGTCTTGAAAAAATCCCAACATATTCTATATAATTTCATCATTATCAACTGAACTATTGCAACAAGAAACTTTCCACAGTCGGGTAACTTTTACCTTCTGCTTCAGTAAAAAATAACTCAAAAAAGTTTAAGTTGTAACATAAATCCAGCCTCTCTTCCCAAAACCAATTTCCTGCTAATTAATATTCCCAGTAAGCTCAAACCATTTAAATTCAACCCCTCAGAGGCATGTAGTTAACCAAGTGGACTGCTGTTCTGCAGTAATGTTTTTGTGTAGGCAAGGGTTTTTGTTCCCATTTTGATTGTAAGAAAAATCAGACTTAACGCAAGGCTGATGGTGAAAAAAGCTGTGATGAGCGTATATCTTTTCCTCTGCAGGCAGAAAAAGTAAAAAGCAAATTTCAAAGGGAAAGAGAGTGAAAGATGCTGCGCAGCGACGGTCAAGAGAAAAAGCTGACAGTGTTCCGGATTCAAAGAGCAAAGTTGTTGAAAGGGAGGCATCACCCCATGTTTCCCATAAACAAAAGGACATTGTAATGGCTTCACCGCCCCCTGTAAAACAGGAGACTGAACCAGAGAAAAAGGAAATTAAGGTGGAGCGGGCAGTATTGGAGGAAAAAGTGAATAAAGATAGGGTTGTAGAAAGCACTGAAATACGTAAGGACTTGCCTAAGAGCTATCAAAGGGAAGCCAGAAAACCATCACCTGATAGCGGTAGCGATGAATCGGCAAAGGCCAAGTCCCCAGCCAGGAAAAGGCTTGTTTCAGCCTCCGATCATTCGAGTTCTGAATCGCCTCCTAGACGCAGATCAAGGTCAAAGGAGCGTGGAAAGTCAGCATCTGCGTCTCCAAGACGTCGAAAACGCAGTCCCAGCCCTGTGGCTACAAAAATCCATGTCGGAAACCTGACGCGAAACGTAAATAAAGATCATATTACGGAGATATTCTCTATTTACGGCAAAGTGCGCCATGTGGAAATGCCTGTAAATCGGAACAATTTAGTTCTTCGTAACTATGCGTACATAGAGTATGAGGGTCCAATGGAAGCTGAGAAGGCTGTAAAACACATGGACGGGGGTTGGATTGACGGACAAGAAGTGCAAACAAAGCTGATCCTTCCAATGAAGGATCGCCGACGACCCAGCCCAGGCCGGTTTAACCCAAGAAATCGTAGACGGTCTCCGCCTAGACCTCGCCAGCCACAACGAAACTTCAACAGGCGGTCTCGCACGCCACCAAGACGAAGATCGCCTAGCCCCGGAGCCCGACGACGGTCACCAAGACGGTCACGAAGTCCAGTAAGAAGACGCTCAAGATCACCAGTACGCGGCAACTTCCGTCGCAGGCGAGGCTCAGTGTCGACAGAGAGTTCAAGGTCGAGATCCCCAGTTAGAAGAGTTGGAAGACAACGATCAAGGTCGGCTTCAGTTTCTAGGAGACGACGATTTAGCAGGTCGAGCACAAGCTCGTGAACAGATCAGGGATGACGACGAACTTAGCGAAAATTAACAGATAGATACTGATAACGAGATAATACACTGTAGCTTATTGTAAACCTTTTTAATGTAAATGTTTAAGTATTCTATTATGTTTGTGTTCTGATTTGTCCTTATCGTCTGATAAAAAAATGACCTGTAGTCTTACAATACGGTAAACAAGAGTTGCAGTTGAACAGTCCCAGGGAAGAAAGTACCACAATCAGAAATCCAAATTGTATGGGAATTCTATTTTGCATCAAACTAAACCCAAAAAGTTTCGGACGATTAAAATTTCGGAGAAAAATTCGTCCAAAACTTAATTTGTCCTAGGTCTCAGTTTGTCCGACAGTCTTTGTTCGAAAGTTTTAAATTCTTAGAAAAAAGAAATTCACACGAAAACACATTTGATGCATTGATGCATATCATTTGCATTGCATGCATGCGGTTTCTTGTGGTCCTGATTCATATATTTCCTATATAACAATTGATTTGGATATCGTTACCCAAATATCCTTCTGTTTTTGCTGGTTTTTTGTTTCTTGAATGCCTTCCAAAATTGGATTGTAAAACGTTTTCTACGTTATTAACCTTTTGTAGCTACTACAAGCTTCTAAGTTCGCATCTATTTCACGCATGGTGTTCAAGGCTATCATTTCTCCAGCTTCTTTATTACACCTATGTAATTAATTTATCTATGATTGATTAACGGAAGACTACAGTTGACATGGCATATATTTTGGTACCATGTAAAATGTTTGTAAAAAATTCTAGAAAATTTGTCCGAAAGTTTTTTATCCAAAGTTTTTTGCAGAAACTTTGCTATCCGAAAGATTCCGATTTTAATGTTGTGCTCAATTCAGGAAGGGTCCCTTCTAATTAAAAAACTTTTGCAGAGTAGAAAAAAGTTTGGTAATTAATTTATAACAACATATCTTGTGAAAAGTGCCGGGGCTCCCCGCTAAAGTCCACTTAAAATTATAATTTTCAACGGTTAAATTTTGCGCTAGCGTGTAGCATCATGAGCACCCGGGTTTGCCCATATGCTAATAAACTTATTTCTGTAGTTTGTAGGTCTTGAATCGTCTTCCTATGAAATGTCTTAAGGAAAGTCTCGAGTCGCTACCTTTTTTAATCTTATAAACCCTTCTATAAATGCTCAGCTCACAGGAGCAGTTTCAAGGTAACGCAATTTTCAGACACTTTTTTTGGGGGGGGGGGACGCCCATTCAAAGATGGAACTAATTAGTTTTTAAATATTTTTCCAGATCGCATGTCAGAAAAGTAAAAAATTTTTGGAAGGTCAGTTTGATCGAAGTTTTATTAAAAGATCGTCATCTCTTTACTCAAGATCATTTGAAATGTCCAATTCTTTGTCATCTTTGCACCTTCTCTTCTCGCCATCTCCGTCATCAACACGGGACAGATCCCAGGCTATCGGGGAAGCGCCTGCCAACAGGGTTGCGTTTTAGCTGAAAATTCCGGGACAGGATTCCTTCTCTCTCTTTTTTCGGCATCGAAAAAAACTTCCTTAAATTATCATGATTTCAAAATTTTATTCCAGGTGGGAGTCAGGGTCAGAGTCAGGAAAACATACTATTGCATGGTCACTGACCGGAGGAAGGTCCACGAAAAACAATAAAAGCTCCAATGACACACCCAAGCCACACCCACTTTCTATCGTTCTGGACTCTGCTGTTCAGACGTTTGGATTTCTCCAAAATTTATCGATTTTAAATTCAACCTGTTCAGGATTCTAGTCTCTTAATTTTTATTATACCATTCTGTCGTGAAAAACCAGGACTTTTGTTTTTAAGCATGGAGAAAAGTGGATACTTCGATGGTGTCTCTCACTCACAAAGATGAAGTTTTCTGGCAACTTTTTCTGGCAGGCACATCCCCGTCATTTTCTCGTAAGTGAACCCCTGAAAGACCATGCACACGGGAGGGAGGTGTGATTGTTCAAAGGGGAGCCCTCATTTTGGCAATGTTTACGTTTTATTGATATGCCCCTTTTCCTTTTACAAAATCATCTGGTCTTAGTAATGGGAGTAGGTGTTGTAAAGGTTTGTGTCCAGTCCCCACGTGTTAAGGTCACGTGATGCGACTGCCAGGCAATGCCAAAGCAGAGTAGGCAGCGTTAGACAGTTCTGAACGATTCAGCTCAATGATTGATTTTCTATGAACTGCATGCATCAAATCCAATATCCATAAAGTGTACCTTTTTAAGATAAACTGCTTATTTTGTTAAAATGATACTCTAATGGAATAATATATCAAGATTCTCTAAATATGCAACATTTCATGAAACATTAATCCAAAGAATCCCCTGCTGGTTTGGTAAATTTTAGGTAATTTTTTATGTGTTCGAATAATTCCATTTTGTTCAGTGCAACGTAACCTGAGAGTTGGGGTCTGGAACTCAGGCTAGTGCAACAATGCTTGTGATGTTTTTTAATGTTTAAACAGGGAGGGAGAGCATATGGTTGAAGGCAACAAGAATTGAATTAAGAAGGGAAGGAATGGACAATGATAGTTAGCAACTAATTCTTTAGACAACAGACTGATGAAAAAACTTATTGAACAACCATCTTTTTAGAAGAAATGCTATAAATTTGGACTTTTTACAATAGAGACACGCTACTTCTTTGTTTCAAAAAATGTGGACCAATAATCGGATCACTAGCTATCGAAGACAAAGGTAACTTGGTTCAACATCTAAACAGAAAATATATCAAGTAGCTTGTATGATTTTGTAATGGATGTTTTTTGTAGGTAAACCTATAACTCCAAAAGGATAGCAGGAGACACGAAAAAGTAGTCAATGGTCAATTACTTCTTTATACATAAAATGAAAAGCATACATACTAATTTCAAAACATAACTGGCTAATGAAAGCAGTTTAAATTTAACAAATGCTTACAATAATACTACATATATGGCAGGAATTTGAATGAGTGTTATCATACATGTCAATAGCGAATCCCACAAGCAGTGCCTTCCTTTATCTTGCGAAGCTTGCTAACTTAAGCTTTGCAAAATAGAAATGTTGGGCTACGTGTGCATTTAAACTCAAATCTTCCACATGACAATTGGTAAATCAGATTTCAACAAGTAGAAATCTGAGGGATGGTATTATTTTGATCAACAACTGTGCCTATACAGAAAAGCAGCCTTTCAACAAAGCAAGCTAAGCAAATAATTTTCCCAAGAGTGAATCCCAATCTAAATTAGAAACTGAATGATACTTCCTCCTAAAGTAAAAACTACAAACAGATAAAATCAATAATGTCCCTTTGGTAAACATCACATCTGTTTCAGTCAATGCATGTGCTGTACTCATTCTGCCTTGTAGACTGCAGTGGCAAACATTATAGTTCCTGCTTGGGCTCCTTGCCCATGTTTTGAATATATATCAGTCATGGCAAGTCTTTTTCTTTGTTTTTCAAGTTTTGAACATCATTTTCAAACCAACTGAATACCAGTCCTTTAATCCATATCAATGTCATCATCTTCAACCTACCAAAATAAACCCAAAAATTAAAAACATATTTGAATCAAAAACATACCTAAATGTGTCTTGAAAAGTAACAATACATTTATGGTGACCAAAGTTAAGGCATCCAGTTATGGTTAAAAGACTTTCTCTGTAGGGGGACATTTGTTTTGTGCGGCCACTGTAGTTTCATGTGATATTGGCATTCATTGATGACAACTTCAGAAGCTGTATGGAAACAAGTAGGAGGCAACTACATGGGATCAGTGTCAGGCCAACCAATAGCCCTGCAGAACAAGAATCATGACTCAGCACATTTGAGTATACCCCCTCCTCTTAACATGACTTAATGCCTCAAAATATAATTACATAAAACAAATGCAAGCTAAATTGAAAAATAAAATACAATAGAGTGCAAAAAGTGGCATTAAGAAAGGACATCAGTTATTATTATTAAAAAAATTTATTGTCCTAAATATTAACAAAGAATGCCTTGAGTGATAAAGGCCTATTACCAACACTGACTGTCTTTTTTGCAAAGGGGACCTCCTAGGGGTATTTAGTCTACAGTAGTATGCATTTACGCAGTAGTCATTATGCAGGTGCTTTCTTGCTAAGAAAAAGTTATTTTAAACAAGATAGAAATTCCAAATTTTAACAAGAAATTTATCTAACTTATTGTTGAAAGTTAAAATTTATTTCTTGGTGGCAATTTCTCAAATTTATGAAAAGCCTGCTGACACAGCAAAAACAAGAAACAGGTAAGGAGAAAAACTACCTTAACTTTGTATGCATCGAGTTCTGCATCAAGATCATCTTTTGAAATTGGCTTACCGCCACGTCCTCTCCTGTTACCACCACGTCCACTGCCTCTTCCTCCTCTACCTCTATTGCCACCACGATTACCGAATCCTCTGCTTCCACCAAAACCTCTGCTGCCACCTCTTCTGTCTCTTTGATATCCGCTTCTTTCTCTGTAGCTTGATAAACAGAAGGACAAATGCCAGAAATCTAAGCAGTCTTCTTAAACAGCTGGCTGAGTTTTATCTGCATTCACTGAAAGCATCCTTTCAGCAACAAACTTCCAGACCATTATTTATTTATGTATCTATCTCATATAAAAGATCTTTCGGACTATGCCAAACCATTTTACACAGTCAACATGTACCACCCTTAGCACTTTTTGACGAAAGGAACATAAAGGAGCTGTTACCAAATGAAATAACCAACCTGATCCCCCAATTCTACTGAGCAGCAAAAGCCGACATTGTTAAATCAACAAAAAACAAAATCCAAAACGAGCTGGTGATGGTCAAATAAAAATAAAAACAGACAGTTATAACAATTGTTTGCTGTCATTTTCATCCAACATAAACATAATAAAACAACATGAGGTTGTGTAAAAGCAATGTAAAACTTTATTCACCTTACCCCTGTTCTCTCTATCAAGGTGATAAAAGAATAATTTCACACAAAAACCTTCACTGCTGCCGTTTCCAAACCATGTTGTTACACAGGTCACAACGGTTTTCCAAAAGCAGCATGCGTGAAATTCCTCACACCCAATAAAAGGTTTTCCAAGCACTGTTCTGCAGCTAATGGAGTCCACCAAATGAATACCTTCTGACACAAATTGTCAAATTTGGCTAATTCATCCTTGTCAGAACTGGTTTGCAAGGCAGCTCTTTTGAAACCAAATAAAAGTTTGGTACAAAAATAAGATTAATATTGTGTCTTGCTCTTTCATGGCAAGATATTACTTATTTACCTTCCTTGATTATTTGAGGCTGCACTGGCACCAGACAAGGCTGTTGTTATCATCTCAATCTTCATTGGTCGTCCTGAATCAAAACAACATACAATAACAATATGATATATACTTCTTTAATGCAAAATCAAATAACAAGTGAAACAACTAGAAACAAAAATATATATAAATATATATATATATATATAAACATATTAAAACAGTTTTGTTGCATAAATTTTATGTTGCATAAACCTTTATTGAGACAAAAAGATTCAGTATAAGCAAAGTCAAAGAAACAAAAACTGTTAATCTATCAAACTTGGCTACTTAATATTTAAGCTACACTTATTTTAATTATAAGAAATTTGCTTTAAGAAAAAAGTACTGGATGGTGAGAAAAAATTAAGAAACTTTGGTACTCGAAGCAAAAAATTTAAAAAACTATCAAATCATGATAAAACTGAGAATAACAAAATTTTGTAAAATTCAAAACATGATTGCCCTGTTGGACTAGAACCAGAGACAGAAGGGATGAACATATACTTCCCACATCTAAACACAACATTAGAACAGAAGCGAATCTCTTGGCGTGATAAAATAGGTCACAAACATTTCATAACATTATTCATGACATAAGTGTAGTACTCGACATCAACCTTTCTTTTAAAAAATGAGGGTACTTGATGTATAGCACAGTATAGTTCTCAGTTGCTACACCAAGTTTTTTGTTTTATACAATTATCAGGTATATATATAACTGTTCCTGATGATGAAACTTGGAGTAGCAACTTAGAACCATCCTGCTCTATACACCAAAGCATTTATGTATGTATATTTGGGTAGTTACAAAACTTTACACACCATCCAGTGGAACTCCATTGTATGTTTTAAATGCTTTTTGTGCATCTTCACGCCTGACATAGACTATGTCAGCTGTACCATGTGATTTTCCAGCTGAATCATAATTCAATGTTGCTGATTTTATGGTTCCAAATTCTTGAAACAATTCCTAGAAAACAATTTTGTTAGTATAAATATAGGTAGGAACCATTTGCCAACAAATGGATGGATGGATTTGTACATAACATAAGCTGAACCATTAAAAAATGATCCTATTGAACCAACAGTATTGAAGAGATCTATTTTCTTTGTTAAAACTTCTCCAAGCTTGAAACCTGTTGCTGATGCTTGAAGAGAAACAAACCAGGTTGCAAAATAACAAATTGAACAAACTGTTCTCAAATCAAAAACTGTGCAAATTGGATTTGAGGAACAAGTTAGAGGAAAGCTGGATTGATGAAGGCTTTCTTACTGAGATATAATTACTTGAATAAATCTGAAAAATTAATCATTATAATGAAAAAATACCTGAATGTCTGATTCTGTTACACCAAAATCTAAATTTGAAATATGCAGCTTGCTGCCAGTTGAAAGTCCACCACTACCAAAAGACGTTCTTTTTGCCTGTCCACCACCACTTTCAAACATATCATGCTCCCATCTGTCAGGCATATTTCTTGGCTGTGGAAGGATGAGATAAGATCTTATTAAAATCACGAAATAAACAAGAATAAGGCAAATCAAGCACATAAGAACAAATCTTAAACAACACCAAATGTTTTTGTGGCTGACTTGAAACTAGGCCTTCTCTAAGGCCAAGCTTGACTAGCGTTCCTGGTGCGACTTACGTGAAACAGTGAATTCAGAACTTTTGAAAAGATTCATATAATACTTAAAAATACCTCCCTCGTTTTAAATCTATTAACTTACCCGAGAGTAGGGGGTTCCTCGACCTCTACCGCCTGAACTTCTGCCACGTCTCATAGGCCCTCCACTACCGCCTGCACCGCCACTTCCACCTCTGTTGCCTCCTCGTCTCTGTCCCCTTCCACGTCCACGACCACGCGAACCTTTGTTTTTCTTGATGATATCATCTAAGGACATATCAATTTTATCTGCCATGATGTTATTCTTTCTGTGTTTTTAATCTTTGAAGCTACGAGGAATTGAGGTTGTATCGACTGCTAACTTGAAAGTTTTGCAGTGTCTTCGGAAAGGCTATGAACATGGCATTCCCGAACAAAGGCATCATGGGTAGTAACGACTTTCAAAAAGAGAATGGAACCGAGTGACATCATTGTTTACCATAAAATGATGTTTCCATCTTTGTGCCAGGTGCAGAAGGAAGAATGCCAAAAGCTAGGTTGAACCTGCAAAATATTTCCAAAAAAATCCGAAAAAGAAAAACCCAGCAGCTTTTTGCTAATTTTTGCTAATTTGGTTCAATTTAATTTGAGCACATCCGAAAAAGGAGCGACTTGATACCATTGAGTGACAGTATCCTAACCAAACACATCACACTTTTTTCAATCAACTTTAGTCACAAGCTCGATCTAGCAGCCAGACAATAGTTCAAATGAAATGAAAAGTTTATCACGTAAAGAGCGACTTGATAGGATGGCAAAAATTTTAAGACAGTAATCTAACCATTATCATATGATCCAATTTTGAAGCCTCTACCCGGCCGGTGAGAGTAGGGCCCTTGGGCCCAGAGTAGGGCCCAAATATCTAACTATTCAACAAGAAATTTCCTTCACCTAGACATCCCAAGGCAAAACCTAGAATTCTCCAAAAGGAGTTTTTTTCTATTGTGGTGCACAGACGTGGAAGGAAATTTCATTACAGATAAAAATAAGAATGATTACCACGTTCAAAAAGAAATTAAAGGAATTCCTGCAAAATTAGCATCCTGTCCCGAAGCACGATCCCTAGGAAGACCAGCATTATATGTAAATTAAGCTTTACTTTCTCTTTTTTAACTTAGTAGCTGATAGGGTTTCTGTGTATAAATATGATAAAATGAATGGTCAGAGTGAATCGATCAATGCAGCGGCCGAGAGAAAAGGTGGCGAACCACGCGTGTCGGTTGTTTAGTACATGTGCATTATTCACCATCTAAGCGAGTCATCTATTATGAAACATGTGTCCTTTTCAAGGATTCCCCATTTTGGATGTCAATCAATGGTGGCACCAGCTCCAGAAAAATAAAGAGGACTGGGATCTAGCAGGAAATGCGACCACGCCCGTTTTAAAGATAAAAACGCACATTTTAGCGCAAGACAATACAAGGGACCACCGGTCAACTCCTTTACAATAACGCTTCTTAAATTGTACAACTTTGAATCGAGGAAAATTATTGGAAAGATCATAAAAACTTTTCAAAAGAGAAGGTGGAGAAACGATTACCAAATATGAGCGAATTTCGTCACCCTAACCCCCCCTCCATCAGATTTTCTCCTCGGATTTATACAAATTAGAAATTGCCTTCCCAAGTCCTTACCGTGACGCCACCTCTGATGACAGTAGTGCGAGGTGATCAGCCAGTTGTTTTCGTGAGCAAAGGGCGGGGGGTAAACAGGCATTCTCAACAGGGATTTATTTTGTTCAGTTTAACTAGCCTTTGACCCTGCCTGTTTCCAAAATTTGAACGAAGTAACTTCCTAGTAAGTACGATAATCATGACATAGCGTATTGATGTATACCATCTTCTTTTGTTATTCTTCGATGATACCTTTAAAACCACGCTGAACCTACATTCCTTCAACAAAAGAAAGTCCTTAAGGCTAATGATTTCAAAAATTTTACTTCTCTGTTCACACCACTATTTCCACACCAACAGTGGCGTAACGGAGGCAGCGGGAGCACTTAAGAGTATTTCAGTTCGGAGCCTCCAGTTATAAGAATTAGTAAAACGACAAACTAAACAAAAAATGGTAATCAAATGACTTCAATTAATTTAGATTAACATATCACACAGTCCAGGCTTGGGGGCCTCTTGGACTCGTTTATCGCATCCAAAATACGTGCTTCAAAGCAAAATAAAATAGAAAACACTTTTGTTAGGGGTGCCTGAAGTTTAGGGGGCCTTGGTTATTGAAAGATAACTTTAATATTTTATGCCACACTACACCAATGGTTGCTGACTTTAAATACTTTAGTTATGAAATATATGTTTATCTAAAGCCACTGATATTTCTGTATCTATAAATTGTCTTGAAGCTCTGTCATTTTTTCATCAGTATGAGAAAGGACTGCTTGGAAGGAAGATATTTCTATGACGCAGAAAAAGTACGCAAAAGTGCAACTACTTGAAACTGCATTTGAAAGAAAAGTAACAAAGCTTGCTAACAACCGCAATAGTTTTTTACCGCTTGGACAAGTTGTATATTTATGAAAAAATGGCAGAAGTTTTGAATTGACGGTGGTCATTTGAAAACTTGAAACTGCCATATTCATACTCGTTTATAAGAAACTACTACTATGATGGCCAAAAAATTTAAGAAACTTTACTATTATGCTCAAAAGTAATAAGAAACTATAGAATTTCCAATTTTAGAAAATATAACGAGTACCGAGTTCTATCCTTTTTAGAGACGGCTTCGACTACTATAGAAATTTTAATGATGTTTGTGGTGTAGAGATGATTTTACTAAGGACTGTTGCAACTAACCTTTTTGCCTATAGTTTTTATAAATTTCCTAAATTTCCTTGTTGATCTTCCTTTGGAAAACATAGCATACTTTGGATTTTGATCTGCATGTTTTTTCGTGACGATCGGCGTTTATGTTCTTCAAAATGTATTCAGCTTCCAAACAATAAGGCAATTATAGGTCTCGAATGTAAAAAAACCAACTAAGAAACTTTAAGTACTAAAACGCCAAAATTTGGATGCCTAATTAAGAAACTTGCGGGGGTGGGGGAGGTGGCAAGCGTCCCCCTAAGTTGTGCTAAATTATTGGTTAAAACACGCTTTTGCCAGTAAACTATGTCATTTGTCGGCAAACTGCTTGTTTTTGTGGGGATTCCCCACCTGAGAATTAATTTCCGCCACTGGTCTATCCTTTATATTTTCACCACTCTAGCATATTTGAGACTCGGGCCAAATGAGAGAAACATGACATGGTAGATTATTTGAATTTCCCTGTCATGAAAGGCACCGAGTTTGTTATTCTGAAATTCCACTTACATCTTTTGCTAATTATCTGCCACCCCTTTTTACCTTGCCTCAATACCTCCAGACGTTGGCTGAAATGCCCAAAGGCCTGCTAGATTTGTGGTTAGTTACCCTATGTAATGGCATAGGTCTTTAAGTGGCATATCTTGTGGGAATACTACATTTTTAGTACAATTTGAATAGGTTTGTGAGCAGCATTTATGGAGAAAGTTGTGTATGATGGAAAAATTCAGGGCTTTGCTGATACGGCCATGCAGAAACTTGTCAAAATATTGTTTTTCAAGTTTAATAGAATACAAATAGAACATTAAAAACTATTAGTGTACTAATTTAAAAACAGTTAGTTTAGAGGATTAAATTCTAGCTTGTGACAACTAAAATTGTTTTTACTAATAAAATCCTTTCAATGAAAATCTAAGATATATTTTATGCAAAAATTCATTTTTCTAGAATCACTCAAAAATTTATGGACACAAGTAGTGAATTAATAATTTCAATAAATCCAAAACAATTATTTCCTATTTATAAAACACTATGCAGCATAATTGCAAATATAAAAGATTGTTGCCACTTGCCCTACTGACTTTTCTGAGTTGTGTCAGTATGATCAATACTTCCAAACATTTAAAAATTTACTTTAATTGTAATACTCTGAAGTGAATTAGAACTAAAGATTTATAGCATAATTTATCTTGAAATTTGAAAGGGTGACCTTTGAATATATTTTGAAGTAAGATTATATTAAACAATGGCAATGTAGACCAATTTGAATTATTCAAAAAAGACAAATGTAAGCTAAATGAAAAGATTGTACCTTAAAATAATAGTATTTGTGTTCAGGGTTGGGCCCATCATCCCTGCTTGAGGGCAAAAAATATGATCTTATAATGCCTAAAAATAAAGGAAAATTAAGGAAAGTTTCTATTTCCACCTTCAATGCTTTACTAAAATGTACTATGAATCAGAAGTCAAAATTGACTAAATGCAAAAAATTGTTATTGAGACGAGTGAAACTGACTTTTTTTTAAACAAAAAAGCATGGATGAAAAAATTATATATTTTCCCCAATACCTGTAATACAGAGCTATTTGCTTTAGGTGAAAAATGTTAACTTTTCGGAAAGGGCAAAAACTACTTTCAATCTAAAAAATCATTTCTTTGTCTCATAATTCATCTTTACTCTGTTGCTCTTCTTTTTCTTCTTTTTCCATCTCTTTCAGCTCTTGTTCCATATAAAACTTATTAGTGTGCTCCTGAGTTGCCTGCTTAATCTGTGCCATAACTTTATTCACAGAGTTTGGATCATTCATATCAAGCTGAAAGTAATCAAGAGCATCTGCATCATTCTTTTTGTCATTTTTAAGTTTTCCTTCTTTTTTCACCTTTTTACTTTTTCTATCCTTTTTTGACAATGTTTCTGGTTCTTTACCAGAACCCTCTTTTGATTTTGTTGCTTTACCAGTTTTGGGATCAACATCAAAAACTTTCTCCACTTTGCCATCTTTTCCATTCATAGTTAAATCAACATCTCCATGGTTTGAAGGTTTCTTTGACCTGTCTACATTCACACATGCTTTGCTGATACCAAAGCATATTTCTTTTTCTAAATCCTTTGATTTCTTTGCAAGTGCAGTTTCTATTTCTTCTTCGTGTCTCTCTGGAAAATCAAACAAATTCTAATTAGTAAAATCAATAGCATTGTCAAAGATAGCTCAAAAATGTTTTCCTTTCATATGCTATGAGGATACACTGACTAAATACATTTGCTATATAGTTTTCTTATCAAATTACCCTAACTTCAGCAAATTGTGATTTGAGAAAGGGGAAAAGGGTTAAGTAGCACAAACACAATCAAAATTATGGTGAAGCAGTCAGACAAACATTTAAAGGATTGTCAACATTATTCAATCAAATTTCACATCCATGCCTTCAATAACCAAATATTCATAATTCACCAGGCCTTTGCTTTATACAAGGGGTTAACGTTATTGCCTTGACCTTTGTGAAGTCAACTGAATGAACCTTTTACAGAAATGAAATTTGCAGAGATGCATCTCTCATACAGGAGACACAACACAAAGTTCAAAGACCAAAATTCGAGGAAATGTGCTAGGCAAACAGAGATCTGCAAAATCGAAGGCAAAGGAGTGAGCTGACGAAAAAATGGTAACTGCTCAATCTCTGACTTTTTATAGTATTACTCTATCTGTATTGACATATATTCTCAAAGACTTTGCAAGGTAATTGAGGGTGTTTCTTTACAAAAAGACCTGAAACATACACATACCTAGAAGTAGCTGGCAGGCTTTCACTGTCTTTGGGGGTGAGAAATCGTAGTTCACAAAGTTATAAGGTTTGCATATATTCTCAAGTGCTTCAGTGATGATAAGATCTCTAGGGTCTGAAGACTTCTTACTTGTCATCTTGGCTAATTCTGTGTTTAAAATGAAATAAACTGTCAAATCTTTGTCTGTGTTTGACATTGTAAATGCCTTGAGATACAAACATTTAAAGCTGGGTTTTCATTAACTGAAGTAGCAAACTCTTTAGCAGCAAATAATAAATCTGTTTCAGAATCAATTTAAATCTGTAGCTACAGATAATCCTGATGCTTTTTATAGGCAGCAAGCTATAAAAGTTTTTAAAGATGCAAAATACAAATTGACTAAATTTACAAATTGTAACAGATATGACCAGAAAGACTTCACTGTTTGTCAGAGATGCAACTTTGAAACCATCCTGTTCTATACACCAAAGCATGCAAAGTTCTGCATTAATTCATTACTATATAGCAGAGCAATTAACAGTCATCTTCATAAGTTTCTCAACTATGGTATATAATTGCTTTTTAACCCTACCAAAAACAAAACCTATAGAATTTTGGATCAATATATGACATACAAAGCAATATTATCACACAAAATAATACCATGAAAAGTCACTTATTTTTGTATAAATAACATAAATGACAGAATTATATAGGAAATGTATAGCCATTCAGTTTTTCAAGATTGGATGAAATAGGGGTGAGGTTTCTTGAATTATCATATTTACCTGTTACTGTTGCCACGCAACCTTCACAGTATAGGTCTAAAATGAAGATATTGTTTATCAAAAGTTTAGCAGGGAAAAGGTCAGTGGTTAGTTTTCATGTCAAGACTTAAAATTAGTACCTACATAACATGTAAAAAAGAGTAAATGTGTTATTGAGAAAGAAAAATACCCAATGTTTTAAAATGGATGATATACTTCTAGGCACTTCAAAAACCTTTTCATGTCTAACCTTAAAAGGCATACTTTTTAGTTCTCAAAAACTGACCGTGCTTGAAAGAAAAAATGTCAAATTAGATCATTTTCTAGCAAGGCAAGGACAAAAGCAAGGCCCAGAGCCCATCCACAATTATGTCATTAAAATTATATATTTCAGTCATTAACAAAACAATAAAGAGTCAGGGTCATCGCTAGCTAATGTGCACAAGAGGAGTGCCCAGATCCCATTTGCCGAAAAAGTGGAACCCAGCATTGCAACTTACAACTGTCACTTTAAGCATGGAACCCAGCATTGCAACTTACAACTGTCACTTTAAGCATGGAACCCAGCTGGCATGTTCCATACACACAAACAAAGTTGAGCATAGCATATATTTTCATAACTTTATTTAAAAATTTGATACATGTTTTTAAAAAATTGTATATATTTTGGCTAAAAATGAAAACTTTTGCATTTAGTTTAGAACTTTCTTTTGCCCGGCTATATCATGGTGAGAGGTAGAGAGAAGCATATTGTTTGTGTTACAAGTGTTTTTCTTTGATTATAAGTAATCAGCAGTGAAAGCAAGTTAGTTTTCTCTTTTTGCCGCAATATATATAAAATGTGCAAATAATGCAACTTACGATCGGATATGCCTGGTGCAACGTCTTTGCCAAAGCAGCTTCCAAGAAAAGTGGTTATTAGGATTGAAAGTATTGCGAGCAAGAAAACAGATTGGTCTGCCATGATGAAAACACTGCCTCTGTTGATCTGAATAAAGAAAACATTGTAAAGGACCACTAAATAAATTTTTCTCTAGTGTTATGAGGAGGTGTCTCTAAATTATGGCAAATTCATTGTTACATGTTCGTTCCAGATGTAGGGTCCTAGCGGGTAAAATGTCTTGGGGAAAAATTACCTTAAGCTAAGGCGAGATAAAATAGAGAATATCAGGCAAATATGAAGTTGGGTTTTCTTACCAACCTTTTTAACTGTTTAATCTAAAGTGCGTCCTTGTTTTCTTTACAAACTCCTCAACATCTCCACAGGTACCCGCGCTGTCCACTACGTTTTCGCCCGTAGGCACCAAGCTGTTGTTGTTGATGTTCCGGTTGTTGCTGCCAAACTGTAAAGGTATCTTTTTAGACAAGTCACTAAGCATCATTTTACCCGTAGCCAGGCCTTGGGCGTACGGGTGGCAAGCTCGCCAGACCTGCTGCAGGCAGATGTTTCAGAAAATTCTTTTTCAAGTTTTTGCATAGCAGCGAAAGTTTTATTGAGCGCTAGACACCATCTAAAGTACTTCATCTTAAGAGACCCCAGTAATAAGCAATTTTCCTTCCGTCAGTAATAGCTTTACTGAAGTTGCCTTGGCAATCCAATGAAAACGACGAAAAAGCCCCATTAAAAATTTAGAGACAAAATTCTCGGGGTGGCAGCCAGTTGGTATTCTCTTGCTCCAGGGTTAACAGTGCCACCCCCAGTCCACCCCTTTACTACGGGCCTGTTTTAGACCGTGCGAGAACATAAACTCAAGATTTAAATAAGAAAACAGGGAAAAGGAATTCTCCTTAAATAAGAAAACAGGGAAAAGGAATCCTCCTTAAAAAAGAAAACAGGGAAAAGGAATCCTCCTTAAAAAAGAAAACAGGGAAAAGGAATCCTCCTTGTCTGGTCCAACACGTGCCCCATCTAAAGAACTGGTACCAAGATGTGCCCCATGGAGAAGGTGGAATCACAAGATTTTTTACTCTCGCATTCACTTTTCTATAGACGGTGGAATCTTGTGTTTGGAAATTCTGTAGCACTCACTCTCTTTACAGGTGTGGATTAAAAAATGGGTATTCATTTACATTTTCTCAACATTGCAAGGAACTTTTAAATTGGCCATGTTTATCAACCCCGGAATAGCATTACGCCGATGTAACTGCAACAAGTATTGTTTTCTAACTAAAATATTTTCAAGTTATCACGGAATAAAAAGCTGCTCTCCTAGTCTTTTGAGCTTAAGTGTTTTTTTCTTGAAATAAAGCAGTATACAAGATGCATGGTCGAATAAATTAAACCTTCCAATGTGAGCAATTTTTTATCAAAACAGTGAAAAATTACACATTTCCATTGTATCTGTTCCATTTTCCAGCTCCAACTCTAGAAAATTATGGGGTACATAGCTAATTTGACAACAATGTCTTAACACCATAGCTTTGAAACTAGCAATGGTGGTAAAAACAAAAGAGAGCAACACCAAGAACAAACATATATTTCCAATGACGTATAATCCTAGATTCTCACAATAATTTGCGGATAAAAATGGCAAGGAATTTCTAATACATAAATTAACTCAATTCGCTGTTATGAAACAAACACCATCCTTATAAGAAAAACTTTCAGGAATAAAAGATACGATACAACTTTATCGCTCGCAAATATTTCTTAACAACATTCTATTAAATACTGGGTATAAAGATTGCTTTTTTCTCGAGTTTATATGGCGGAAAAAAGAACGTTCGTAAGATAAAAACAACGTTATTGTAACACGCATCTCGGTGCTCGTACCATAGAGGGCATAGCATACTGTTTCTCCCTTGTGATACAGGAAGTTAGGCACTTGTATCTATAAATATATAACCGATTTACGTTTGGATGCACTGAAGGTTGAAAATTTAAGGATGTGGGAATCCAGAAATGGATACCGCGTCAATATTGTCACGCATCCATTACGGGAAATTAAAATGAACCTGGGTTCCCTAGTTGAATGAAAACTCAACTAACAAGCAAGATTTGGGATCTAGGGAAAAAAACACAATATGGACAACTACACTGAAACTGTGACTAAGAATGATTGCTTAACTCCAAACATTTATAGGATATTCTAGGTTAAAACACAGATTTCAATAGTTGTTAGATTAGATGTTGGAAATCCAGGTAATGCTTATGTATATTCTTGCTGTGTGGCAACAAAACTGGTCTATAGGCCTTAGAGAATCATCGTATAAATGTTCATTTTACAAGTTATAATGCCACGAAAACTAGATACAACCTTAAATCGTACTGAACCTTTTAAGATGAATTGAGCTTTGCCGGGGGCGGTGCAATTAAGGGCAGTGAAATATCTTCGAAAAGATGATTGTCTTAAAACACTACGTTAGCAAACGAATGAGAGCGTCTAAAAGTCAATAAAGCAAAGATGCAATCTTGATATATCAAATTAAATTTTCAGTGTATTTAGGATCACAGAAGGATAACTCAAGGAATACTCTAGGCAGAATGACTAAACACGAGCGTTTAAAGAACATACAGCAGCCCGCCCGTTAGACGGCAAGCTCCTTCTAAATACATTGCACTTCAGTCTACGAGACTGTTTATCTTTTATGCCAAAAACAAAAGACACCTCAACGCATCTAATCCAAGGAACCAAATCCAGATACTGGACAATTTCGCATCTTCTACACCGCCTTGTCGAACCAAAGGTGACTTCCTGCGGACAGAAAATCAATCAATGCAATTTAAACTCATTTGGATTACCAAGACTTATATTAGAGAATCCAGTCACATAATTATTCCATAAGAAGTTCATCGAAGGGTGAATTTAAGCAAAAAATTACCAATAATGTTCGTTTAAAGGTCGATGCAAACGATCCAACAAGTAGTTTAACATGTAGCCTGAATTTTGGTGTGACATTTTCGGTGATTTGTGACATTTAGCGAGTGAATGACCGGACACTTTACCTGAGATTTAGACCAACATTTGTGCCCGCGAGGCATCAGAGCCATGCAGCTCAAGGTAAGCATAAAAGATATTATCCAGCAATGTCAGGCATATGTGCAAACGACTAACATTCCAACCAACAAGTGGAGAGCAATTAAAAGTTAGGCCAAATGTTCCATCTTGATCAAGGATCGCCAAACATTAAAAACACATGCCAGGTGTCCTGAAATCGTGCACAAACAATATGTTAGATCGTTTGGACTGGCTTCCCTCTGACTGAAGGATCTATCAGTAGAATTCTTTAGCCAGAATAAGATAATAAGAGTTCTTTTTAATGTCGGTGAGCTAAAGGGGGTACAAAAACTAACCTTAAGGACGGATACTTGACAGGGGGCGCTGGGGCTTTCTCGATTCACCGCTGCCTGGGTTTTCCCACAACTTTTTGCGATTGGCGACCGATCCAGATTTTGTCCCATCATCTTTCTGCTGGACAAATAGAAACATTAATATTAATGAAGAGATATAAACTTAGCTACAAAAGATAAAGGTGATCCTAGTATATAATTCATACGTACAGACAATTGTTCCGGGCCAACACACGAAAGGGATGGAATACCTATTTCTTTACCCGTTTTCTTAAACCCCTTCACCTATCACAAGGCTTCTCAGTGTCGTAAACCTAACTCGGAAGCTAGGTAGAAACAAATACAAATACAAAAAATTGTCTTTATAGACAACGAGGTTCATATACAACGAAAATTCAGCCAAATCTCATAACAGTTAAACACCATGGTACTTTTAAGGATGAGTTGCAAAGTACTTGCCGAGACCACATGTTACGTAATACAGTTTAAATAAGACAGAAACATAAGCTGACCTTGATTTGGGACAACAACTTTGGATCTTGCCTGAGCTGTAGATCTGACCATCTTTTCCACGGTTCTCTCTCTCTAGTTGACTTTTTGGGCTCCACGCCATCGTTCGTGAACACCATGTCAGTCAAATGAAGATCCGACCATCTCTTCTGCCTTTGTTGTCGAGCACTGGCGACTCTCTCTGCAGCATCCGAGGTTTCGGAGCGCCTTCGCAGCACCGGTTTCGTTTCAGTTTCTGAAGAGAGAGAAAACAAACAATTTTGTTTAGTTATTATCGCAATATCAGACATGGGAGCTCGTAGATCTGAATCAGCATTTCAAAAAATTTATTCTACAGGGAGCCACTAAATTAGTAGATTGCTTGAGAATGCTGTCTTAGCACAGATGGCAAGGTTTTCAATGTGCAGGTATATGCTAATCTGCAGCCACGTTAGCAAATAAAGTTTGCTTAGAACTATGAATTGGTGAACGAGAAAGGAATCAAAGCTGGAAAACGCACAAATAAAATCTACAACACAAAATTACATTTGTAGTTGAAATTTATGCAACTGAAATTTAATAAATAACTGTATACATTTCCAACGTGCCCTAAGAATTTTGCCTTCTTGATAAACTGTCCTGAGAAACTGTTAATAATGGGGAGAAATGATAGGTCATCTTTCTCTAAATTCAAAAATCTTCTTTTGGTAAAAAACTGCCCGCAAAACGAGCCCTACCATTTTACAGGCATGTCTACAAAAATCCTAAGTGCAGACAAGTTCACAACATTGCCAAATCAATTGCCGAAAAATAGACAAAAAAAACAGACAGACCAACGTACCTGGCACTTTTGCAGACTCGGATCCATGCCTCTCAGTGAGTTCTTTCATCTCCTCCCGCAGCCCATGGACCTCCTCTTGAAGTTCACTGACTCGGGAATTCTCATCTTCTTCGTCTCTCTCTGCCTTTTTTCTATAATAGTCAATTCGCTTCTCATACCCTTGAATCTGATTTTCCAATGCTTGTACCCTAGCCATCTTTGATTCGTCTTGCGAAATTGAAGCTGTTTCTGATCCTACTTCCTTCTCGCTGCTCTCTACCACAGTCTCTGGTTGCCCTGACCGTAATTCTGAAACAAGAGCTTGGAAATTGTTCACTATCTGCTTATAGTCTTCAGTTTCCGCTAGGTATTGTTTTTGCTGCTCCTCAAGCGCTAATTCTAGTTCCACAACTCTTGATGACAACTCCTTGTTCTTTTGTGACTCTGTTTTCCGACTGCTGACACTGTGTCGCCTAGCACTCTCTTTGATACAAGATTTCAGTTTTTCTTCATACTCACTCCGAATTTCGTTGATCTGATTGTTAAAATCCTGCTGTTTTGCTTCTGTTTCCTTCACGAATTCAACATTCATCTCCTTCACTTTTAACTGCCAGGCCTTCTCAGCCTCACTATATTGCATCTCCAACTCCTTGCATCTCTCTTCCAGTTCACTATCTCCGCCATGCCCATTAGTCTTCCCTACGTTCTGTCTTTCTCCACCAATAGTCTTATAATATTCTACCTTTGCTTCCAGCTCTTCTCTCAGTTCCTGCATCTCCCTATCATGTTCCTCCGTGATTAAACCAATTCTTTCTTCATATTCATCAGAAGTTTGCGACAGCAATATCTCGAGTTCTTCAATTCTTTTTTGAATCTCTTCTACAGCATCAAGTTTTTCCTCTCGACTTCGTTCTTCAAACTCTTTGATATCAATGTCATGTCTATCTTTCATTTCGTCAATAACCCCTTCGAGACTCAAAACAGTGTCAGTCATTTCACAGATCGCCACTCTCTTTTCTTCCTGAACTTTCATAGTAAGAAGCTCCATTTCTTCTAGATGTTTCTCTGTAATGTCATGTAATTCAACCTCCAAGACTTTTATTTTCTTTTCTAAATCTTCATTGACCTTCACGAGCTCCAATATCGCATCCGAATTTTCTTTATCCTTATACACTTCAAGCTCTAGTCTATGCTTTCTTTCCATCTCTTCTAATTCCGTTTGCATCTGAAATATTTTCGTCCCCATTTCTTCATTCCTCCTTAAGCCAAAGAAATTATTCGATTCCAGCCTCTCGATTTTCATCTTCAAATCCTCTCGCTCGATTTCGAATTCTGCTAGGCCAGCATCTAACTCCTTCTGAATGTTTTGGTTCCTGCTGGTTAACTCCAAAATCGCAGCAGATGCACCGCCGTGCTGCATTGCTTCGATTACCGTCAACATATCTTTCTTCACGCTCTCCACCGCTTTTTCGTATTCTTTCTCCTTCTGGGCCATCTTCTTCTCAAATTCTCTTCTCTCTTCTTCCAAGCCGTCAGTTGATACAACCGAACTTCTTCGACTGCTTCTCTGGCTGGTATGTCCATGTCCATCCTACAATGAACCAAGGAAATACCAACTAACATATACAAAAATATGCTCTTGAAGTCAACTCAGGGGAATGTCATTTCATGACCAATTAAGCAATGTTTATTGTACCATTCCTCTTAACAACACAGCTATTTGAGTAGCATAGTCATTCTAGTGTAGTAATAAAGATAAATTTCAGAACAAAATTGCTATGGATACAAACAGCTGAAAACTTTTGAGTGACTGGGCAATCCCCCGTCCACGTAGTCATGTGGACATGCATGCACACTATAGGCCATCGCACAAGGTTTTTATTACAAAGACGGGGGACGCAATAGTTCGAATACATGCAGTTTCTCCGAATCAGATACTGACCTCTTGGTCTTCCTTTTCATTGTACTTTCCTGATTTGAACACTTCGGTGACAGTAAGCATATCCCGGATTGTCTCCTCCATCTCGGCTTGATGCGCTTCCTATAGACATAAAGAAAACAATTCACACTGATTCACGTCACACCACACAAAAAACAGACAGAAAACGACTCTGTTTTATTTGTACTATAGCATTGTTATTGTACCTATGCATCTTTGAAACTAAGAACTTTTTCTGGATGATTTTGATGGTTTAATTCGGAAAATACGGCCTTTAGCTACTACTTGAAAATTTGACACATTTCTGACTATTAAAGGATTTCAAAGAGACTTAATCTCAATCTTTCAAACCAGAAAACTCCATACTGATTTTTTGGGGGTCTGAAGGTTGCGTACCAACCAAGACAGTTTACAATCAGATGAATACTGTATTGAAATTAAGTATATACACAATTTTAGTAAGTAATAACCTGAAAAAGAAAAATATCAAACCATAAACATGGCAAAAGTGGGATGTAAAATCTACTTACCTTTTCAGCTTCTAGTTCGTTTTCGTACCGAACTCTCAATTCTTCTTTTTCTCTCTCCAATTCGATAATCCTCTCGTCCAGACCATTCGTATTTTGACCGTTCATCGAGCTGTTGATTGCTTTGATAGTATCCTATGCAAAATAACGAAATAAAAGTTCTAAACAAACACACGTACATGAAATCTATGTACCACTGATAACTTTGAAAGCGCATTGATTCAGTTTCAAACTGCCTATATTCACGTCAGAAACAAAATTCCTTACAAAAATGTAACTTTGGCTGTATCAACAATAACAAAAACAGTCATATTTTGTAAGCTATCTGTATCGAAATTATCCGTAGTGGTTGCTCCTGGAGCACATCATCAAAGCCTAGATAAATCAACCAAAGAGAAAAAAAGGACAGAAAGTATAACCAGAGCGGTGATTCACTGATATTTTGTTAATTAAGTGTTCGCGAAAATACTTCGTGTAAGAATCGCAACAAGGATTGCATTGAGTTGTCTCTAGAATCTAAATGTATTTTGTTAAACAATTTTCGCGCGGTACAGAGCTTTAAAATTGTTTGAAAAGAGCAAACATTTTGAAACATGTTACAACAGCTTTTCGCCTGCCACTCTTCAGAGTATGAAACGTGGGAACATGGATCGAAGACTATGTTTTTAGGGTGGGGTAATTTGAAAGCATCCTTAGTTGCGGCGTCTGCAACGATATAGTCTCAAGACACCGAGTTTCAAGGCTCTGTTCAACGGTCAGGTATGTTTTCATCATCAGAAACTCGTCACCCTCAGTCAGTAATCACGGTAAAATCCTTTATAAAATGCTTAACTATATGGAGACATAAGATCATCATCTCGAGCACTAGCATCATGAAAACTAACATATGTACATAGACGAAAATTCTAATCCTTTATCCGAACTTCAAGTCACAAAAACTAGTACAATATTTTAACAAAATTTAGGAGTTCTATTATTTTTAAAACGATATTTAAATTAAAATTTGGAGTATTATTAGATACCCTTGTTGCATAAAATGTATATTTTTAATGCCACGTCAGTGGACGACAAAATAGGGGCTACTGGCTGAGATGGGAAACGGGCTGGTAGAAACAACCTCTTACGGCAATCGATTTCCATGTTTTCAAATTGAAACTCCCTATCACACTGGTTCGCAGCACAGAAAAGCGGATCGTCGAATACTCTTCGTACTGTTTTGAGGGGAAATAGGTGATCTGTTGCTGTCTCAATTCCTAATCCAGGAAAATATTAAGCGGAAATATAGCTTCTATTGAGAATTCCAGCAAGCCAGTACACGAACCTACGTGTTTTTAAGCAATGCAAACCAATTTTTGCAAATTTATGGAAGAAATGACCGGTAGTGTTGGAAATCAGTATTCGAACTGTATATATATTCAAAAGTGATTCTTGAAAATCAACCAGGACCTATTAAATTGTTATGAGCCAGAGAACAAGGTGCGTTTAACCAAAAAGTGCTTGTCAAGCAATAGAAATTGGGGGTATTTTGATCATCAAAGCTTTTAGAACTGTTTCTTTGTAAAATGTGGTAGTTCCAGAGAAGAGACTGTTTTTGTGCCTCTGTTGTGGAGGCCTTGTTATCAATTGTTTAATTGTTGCATTACGTTCCACAACTGACAAATATGTCAAAAATTTGTATGACTCAGTTCCCATAACAATATTCCGGTATTCCCATAACAATAAAATTACTCACTGCTAAAGATTTCTCCATATCATCTCGAAGCTCTTCAATCAGTTTGGCATGGGACTCTTCCTTCATTTTCATCTCTTCATCGTGTCTTTCCCTTGCCTGTTCAAGTTCAGTCTGGAGTTCTTGTACTCTGTCAACCTGTTCTTTATCTCTGTCTTCAGAACTTTGGCTTTCCCTGTTTCGTCCAACGCCAGCCGGCCTATAACAAAATCACATCATTGGTTACTATGTTCAATGGTTAAGAAACTAGTGTATTTAAACAGCGACTTTCAGGGATTACCCGCGTCCTTGCTGAAATATAACTTTAATTGAAAAAGAGGGTTTGCTTGCATAAATGGGGGATTCATTAACAATAAAGTACAACTCACAAGCAAATATTGGAGATCATAGAAAATTCTGTTGTGATCTTTATTTGGACTGAGATCTTCGCTTTTGCAAATCCTCTGTTGGAATTCGGTTTCAGTAAATTTTGGCTAAATCAAACCAAGATAGAACTTTACCTTTATCAAACTAATTAACTTTTTCAGCTTCAACGTTTTCTGAGATCGAATTGGATGGAGGTTTTACACTGAACGGCGGGGGCGTAATAAAGAGGGTATTTAATTCAAGTTTTTGCTTGGAAAAAAGAAGGGGCGTATTGGAGACGAGGGCTTAAACAGATAGGGGTCTAAATTAAACGTTTGAGGCAAGACTGATAGGAAGATGCGTGACAGTCAGATAAGGAAGGTTGTGTTCGAAAAACACACATTGCACGTTCTGCATCGATAACGAGTCACGGCTCAACCTTTTCAGTTTTTCATCCTTTAGTAGATCGCATCTTTCATAATTCATAACTCACTTCACGATCAAAGCAAGGTTAGGCAAAGTCAAGTGGATAACGTTGTCGAACACGCACGATGAAAATACAAAAACGTTACAAATTACTACAGAAAAAACCGCTTGAAAAAATCTACAATTGCTTGTAGAAATCAAACATTTTCAAGATCTGGTCAAAGGAAAGTAAAACTCCCTGAAACTTTTGTGTGTGCGTGTGAACGAAAACTGTGCTTCAGGGTACAATGTATCGCAGTCGGTCAAATGGCGTGGAACTTCCGCCATACGAGAATATTGGAACGATTGAGAATGCTTATTCGAATTGTATTTATAGAGTTTACAATAGAAATGAATGAAATTCACTGGCAAGTAAAATGCCAGGGCCTTCACCTTTGGGTTTCTCGCGTCCAACAACCATACTTTCTCCTGGCAAAAATGAAATCAAGCTCCGAGGAGGAGTCACTTGCGATTCTCTTCCCCTGTCGCAGCATTATTATTTCCTAACAGGCAATAGTTGTAAAAACGACTCTTCCGAACCGGATCCTTCACCTTCGCCCGAAGTTAGTTTAAGAAGAACAACATACGTGGTACTTTCAGCCAAAAAACCTCTTCCCAAAGGCATACATAATTACGAAATAAGATAAAGCTGTAATATGAAGTTTTGCGGGAACAATCTTGCCATACATCCTTCTCTCCATCAAATAATACATACAAATGCCCTGACAATATATTAAACAGGACAAAGGTTGAGCGGTAGATTAACACTGGCCTAACAGTAATCGAATTGTGAAATCAAAACATTGACCAGACAGCACCTATCTACTGGGTGTTGACTGGCATATTGGCATCAAAATAACAGCTAAAATTGGACAGTCACGCTGAGTTTAACGAAGTTTTTCTTGCCGAATGTAAACAACGGGGCGCCAACTTGAGAGGCTCCTCCGCCTTGCCTCCGGGCGAACAGTGTTTCAAGTTGCAATCAGTTTTTGGCGGTGCAGGACTTAAAAATGCCTTTGACAAAGCAAATATTTCGTGACATGCTAAAACTTTTCATCTGACACACTTCAGAGACTTCAAGAAGAAATTTGAAGGAGGGGAAGTTGGTAGTGGGGGCGCTTAAAAATTGGTAACGCGAGTACTCTGTATACAACAATTTTTCGACCCTAACTACTGACAGAAAGCTCTCTATTCACCTTTTAAGGAAATATTCACAACAATTATGCCAACACAATGACATATAGTCTGAGCATGACTGAAGGTCTTATAATAAAATTGCTCTTTTAATAGATAAATTTTCCAGCTAAACGTTCGCTTCTTCGCCATAGCGGCTCCATCTCTGCTAGTGCACTCTGCAAAAGTGGCTTGAATGCTTTTACCTCACCGGGAAATCGAATTTTGAGGGCCCAGAAATATGGCGCTTTTGGTTTAACTTTCAATTGGAGACCCCAAAAATCAATAGTACGTCATTATTGCAAAAGTTAAGATTGGTGGTTCAGGGTTTGATGAAGGTGGCCACTATGGTGGGCGTTAGAAAAAATTTTGCAGCTATGATATTCCAGAGATGCGTCTTGATAATGGGTCTGGAACAGTGGTGTAGTGCTATCAAAATAATAAGGGGGCTCTTGCACAAAATGTTGCAAAAAACAATAGCAAAATGAGGAATTTGCCAATTTCAGGCATTAACAAGAGGGGCTCAGCGCCTCTGAGCCCCTCTACACCTCTGGTCTGGAATATCTACAACATCAACTGAGCAATAGACAAATATTGTCTACCTATATACCGACTATCATACTTTTGCTGTATGGTTATATTTGGTTTGATTATGACATGAAGATTGGACAGCTTTTGAGCGCACGAAATTGAACGATGTTTGAATGAAGGCGGTTATTAAAGAACACAACTTTATGGATAGCCTTTGTTGTCTTCCAATGCATAACTTTTCTAGCAAAACATGATCGATTTTCGGTATAAACAAGTTAGCTTTGAGGCAATCCTTGAATTAAAATAACCTATAGGTCTCAAAAAACCTTGTCAACTGATTCTCATTATTCAAAAGGGGTGCACAAGGGGCGCCAGACTTCAACTTGGTGAGGGAGGGGCAATTGCCCCCTAGTTGGCCCCCTTAAATCCGCCACTGCGAATTGAAATAAGCCATTCAGAACAGCGACCACATAACTGTTAAGGTTATCGAAGACAATGATAATAACTTGGTGCAATGGCAAAAACTGAGAGAAACATGACATGACACATTCAAGACAGCGAGATACCTTCAATGCCAGTTGATTAGCGGTGGAGTGAATTGAAAAGGACATCACTGAACCTCCATGTGGCGGCTTTGACATTGACAGTCGCCGTTTTAGGGGCTCCGATGAAAGTTGGAAAATTCGGGGCCAGAAGCAACTTAAAGACCCATAACAAAATATTTTGCAACAAAGCTCTATTGTTTTGCAAAAGGTGGGGGCATCATGTCCCCCAGGCCCAACTCCGTTGAAGGCCCTGCGATTACACGTGATTCTCCAAAAGGGGAGCTAGGTGCAGGCCACCCACCTTAGAAGGGGGATTCCCAAAAACAAAAACAGATAAATTGAATCACTTCTGTCAACAAATACTAACTTAACATTTGCACTTTCTGGGGTGGAGGCGACCACCTCCAAAAACTCTCACAACTCAGCAATCTTGCTAGATATAAAAAAACTCGAAAAACATGAATTGGAGAGAGCCTACTGAACAATAATGCGGTCTATTCGCAAAAAAGCAATGCAAATGTGGCTAAAATGGCAGAAATCTACTCGTGCTTGACTGCATGAGAGTTAGAATAATATCATTTATCTCGCTATCCTGCGAAATATTTTTAGCCAAACAAAGGGGGTGGTATGTTCCAGACTCCTCATTTCTTAGTTACCTTCAATAGGGGCCTCGTTCAGAGCTTTCGCCCAAGGGCTACAAAAAACTGTACTGTGGGCCTCTTGGTTCCTCAGATATTGGAACTATGAACACGGCCTCAAAGAAACAGCGCTATACAAGTAGCATTATTGTAAACGCGAATACATTACCAAAGGCCACCATCGCAAGCAAACTGTGCTGCTTCCATTTGAAAATATATCACATTTCAAGCCAGCATGATTTCCAGTCATAAGCACCTTGACTAATTATTTGTACCACCGTATAGATAGAAAAGCCAAGCAATCATAAATCTTTTTAAGTCAAACAGATTTATTTATCCTTAAAAATAATTGTAAAAATAGGCAATACGAATAAAAATTAACTCATACACAAGAGCTATCCCCGTATTAAGTCACACAGAAGAATATATTGTAACTGAGTAGCCAAAATGCTTGGGATTACACGTGACTTCTCTATGAGCGGGAAAAAGTAAGCACGGAAAGGCGGGAACATGTCATAATAAAGTACTTTTCGTCCGATGCTGGTCAGAGTATTAACGTAGGATAATGTCCAAAGGTAAGCAGAAAATTTTGTGCTATTTTCAAATTTTGTAGTACCAAAGGTTTTTTCGGCAAAAGTAAGCTTATACACGCCGAAACAGTCACCGACTCAAAATCACCCCGGAATCACTCAAAATCACTCAAAATCACCCTGGAATCACTCAAAATCACTCACTTCATCTCTTTCACTTGATTGATCAATTCTGAAAGAACGATCTGAAATTTTGCAATAGGTTTTGTCAAATTTGTGATAACCTATCGTGTTCACTTTACCAAGTCTCAACGTAAAATTTTGCTTAATAAAACAAGGATGTTGCAAACACGCATTGGGTGATCGTAGAGCAATAACAATTTCAGGTTTCTATATACGAACGAAAGGAAAATTCTTTTTTGGAAAAACGTTTCATATATGACTATATCGCAAAGTCCAATTTGCTGTGGCAGAAACAATGAAACAATAGGGGGAGAACCTAGAAAGCAATAAGTACACGCAAAAGAAAACATTTAAAAGAGAAAGAAATGGACAGATGCAAAAACAAAATTTTACCTCTCAGGGAGAGCTTGGTCTTCTTGACTCAGATCATAAGGACAACTATCTTTCTCGTCAAAACCCTTTTCTGCGTAGGCTAACTGTAGCTGCTTGGCATTAAGTTCTTTTATTTCGCGTTTTTCGTCTTCGAATTTCCTGTTAAGACACGATATCTCCGATTCAAGTTCTAAGATCCTTGCGTTTAAGTGTTGATTTTCCGAAAGTAAACGGTCTCTTTCGAGTTCGATTTGCTTCTCCTTCGTCGAAACTTCAATATCTGACTGATCTGACAAACTATCGTACCGGTCCTTTTCTGCGATTCCTTCAGGGGGCATTCTTCGCCCGTTGTTGTTCTTTGATTCTTCGACTATACTCTGAAGCTCCATGTTCTTTTCACGACTCTCCGACAAAGAATTCTCTAATTCCTTGATGTATGCACTTGTCACGTCTACCAGATGTGAAATGTTGCTTCGCTCCTTTTCAAGTTCGATCGATTTCGATTGTAGGAGATCTTGTGACTCGATCAGCTGTTTTCGCATGGCTTCCATTTTTATTTGAATCGCCATCACTTCCTCTTTTAGGCCTTTCTCTAACCCTGAAGAAAAATGCATATTTGCTTGTAAAAGCACGTAAGTTGCTGAGCCGCGAGATATACTCCTCCTTATTATCTTCAAAAAATAATATGCCAAAATACTCCCTATTATGATCCAAAATAAAACCCAGTGAAAAACGGTGAACGCTGCAGAAGAAAGATAATTTGCAGGAAGTTAAACTACGCAAGGAGGTGATTCAATAAAGACTTTTTAGCAAAATCAAAGATCATGGTACAAGAATCCTACAGCAATCAAAAACTCAATAATTTGACGATTGTTTTTGAGGTTTAATAAGAAATTTAAGAAAGTCTAGATCAAAAGGGCCAGCGAACCAGAACCGGCCTCGCTTTAGATTCAATGCGGGCCTGAAAGACATGAAATTGTTCGCGAGGGGCAGAAGACGCGATGCAAACGGTGAGGACGAGCATTTCAAATGGCTCCTCCTTTAGTTTGCAAGGTATGGAGAGCTTATTTAGGTTTTGAGAATCATCACATACATACATATGGAAAAGAGAGTTGAAATTACTGCTAGAGCTTGAGAAGTTAACTATTCTAAAAGTGCAAAACAATGATTTTTAAGGTTCCAAATACCTTTGAATTTAATTGAAATTCCTTTGCGCAAAAACTGTGATGGGTTATATTACACGTAGCTAACAGCTTATGCTTCTCTCAATAAATCTTTAGATTAAAAATGTCTTTGAAAAAAGGAAAAGTTAAAATTTTCCTCTGACAGAGTGTCAGACGAAAAGTGTAAGAAGTTTGCTTTTCTCAAAGCCATTTTTAATTTTTGCACCAACAAAAATTTGTTTGCAAATCTTTAGATGTTCATAAAGGATAGGTGATTTTCTGGGGTACCAGTACTTTTGCATGAAAAAAAGTTAATTACGCTATCATTTGACTGCTTTTGACCATTTGATATCAAGTTGGGCTGTATGTGGCCTCTGGACTCTGGCTTAAAATTAGATTCTCTGATTTTGGTTGTCTGCAAGAGGCATCGATTGGAAATTTGTCTATCAAACTGCCGTAAAAATGCCAAAGCAAGAGGAAAATAAAATCTTTGAAGTTTCAAATGAAGAGCAATACATTAAAATGGCTCTGCGGTTTACTGAAATTCTAAGCGAAACACTTTCGGCAAGGCACCCTTGCATTTCAGGCTGATATTTATAATAAAGAAATATAAATGTGATTTGCTGTTGTGCAAACAAATCAACGTCAACAATAATTTGGGGAGCATCCGGTTGTATTGTCTATCAAATAATTACCAACTCACAAACCTACCACAAGTTTTGCTCGATATTGGATATAATATTAAAAGGCAAATACCAAAAAAGTATTTTGATATCGTATTCTGGTTATTGCTGATTATGAAAAAGACGTCTTGAGTTTTCTCTTACCACGCACCCACCCTCCCCCCTTAGCCCCAATTGCTTAAAACATTTTGCTGACGCTATTTTTCCTGTGGATTTTGGTTCAATGTATTTGTTGTTAATGTTATTGAATGGTTTATCTAAATGGGCGCTTTTAATATTTTATTTTAGCGAAAAAGTGGCGATGCTATGGCCCCCTGTCCTCACCCTCAGTGGCGCGGGCCCTGTAACCAACAAAGATGAACATTTTCAATCAATTTATAATGCTTCTTGATTAAGGAAATATTCCTCTAAAGGAAGCACGTTGACAAGTCAAATAAAAACCAGTGGCATAGGCAGAGGTATACGATTGGCTGTGTAGAACAGGGCGGCTCTAAGTCGCAATTCTCTGAGATGCATGCTTTTTGCATCATCAGGCAACTGTAGCGATTTAGCACCGTCCTGTTCTAAACACCAAAGAGTCTATAACAAAAAAGCTTTGTTGATAATACCTGATCGCGAGTCCAGGTTTTCAGCTAGCTCTATAACTCTTTGCTCACTCTCCAGATATTTCCTTGCAGCCTCTTCAAGTTGGTTTTTGTACTCCATTTTTAAGCTTTGTGATTTCATCAACATGTCCCTCAAGTTATTCAACTCTACCCTCAATCCGATACCTGTATCCAGCATTTCCGAGCCCTCTTCCTTGATCTCGCCATCTCGTCCCTGTGCTTCAGCCTCGTACTTCTTTCCTGACGCAAACAACATGGCATTTTCCATAGCAGCAAAATCTTCACGTAATTTTGCATTATCCTTTTCAAGGCTTTTTAACAAGTCATCCTTTTCAAGGTGTAACTTTTGCAACTGTTCTGCTGTATCACTCTTTGAAACGAGTGCAGATTCAGTGTCCTTAGTTTTCTCAGTTAATTCGACCACAAGAATGTTTTTATTTCCAATTTCCGAAATCAAGTCTCTATTTTCTGCTTCTAAATTTCTAATCCTTTCTTCTCCAGACACGAGTCTACTTTCCTGCTCTGAGAGCCTCTTTCCTGTATCCTCAACCTGCTGTTTTAACTCAGTGACATTTTCGATCAGTTTACTTTTTTCCTCGCTATCTTTCGATTCGACAAGCATTTTCGTGTTGATTTCGTTTTTCAGAAGCTCGTGCTCCTCTTTTAACTTAGCAAACTGTGTCATGTCTTGCCTGGTGTTACTTCTTATTATATTCAATTCACTCTTATGTTTTTCTTTCATTTCGGATATAGCCGAATAATAACCATCTTCTTCTTTTATCAACTTCGCCTCGAGCTCTTTTACACGCTCCCGAAGTTCGTTATTTTCCAACTCCTGGGTCTCAGCCCCTTGCTTTTCCCCGGCGTCCAAAACAGGTCTCCCTGCATTCTCTTCTTCATACGCCTTCAGCTTGCTCTCAAGGTTGTACAATGTCTCTGTCAATTCAGTATTCTCGTTGCTTAGTAACCTCACCTGACCTTCGAGATCGATCGTCTTTTCTACCCTCGCTTTAGCCTCGATGCTCCTCTCAAGTCTAGCCTCGGCATCATCCTCATCAGCGTCATCACCTTCCTCCTCCTCATCAGAGCTCTCTTCCTCAAAGGCTGTTAACCTCTCTTTCATGACAACTTCTCTTATCTTAAATCCTTCCAATTCTTTTTCTTGCACAGTAAATCTCTTTCGTAGATCGCTCAATTGTTCTTCCAAATCCTTTACTTTATCTGTCGATAATTGCAGCTCTTTCGACTTCCTATCGTAACCGCGCTCGTAACCACGTAACTTTTCGACCTCTCGAGTCAGTTCGTGAATTTTCAATTGTCTATCACTCAACTTGTGGGTAGCGTCAGAAAGTTTGACTTGAATATCATCGAGCGAACGACATTGTTTTAAGACATTTCTATATTTAGCTTCGAGTTCCCTAAACTTGGTTTGAGATTCACTAAGTTTTTTGTCCTTCTCTAAAAGCGTACCCTCTGCCTCTCGAAACCGTGACCGATAATAATCAACATAACGATTGCTTACTTCAGTGTCGTTCTGCGGCACCGTTTCGCCAGGAATATCAATGCTATTCTGCTCGCTTAACGAAGACGATACGCTACTGTGTCTACTAAGGCTTTGTTGCTCAATTTCCGATTCGAGCCTACGCCGCCTTTCTCGCTCCATTTCCAATTCCATTGTAGTATCGCTCAATCTTTCGCTAGCTTCCAACATTTTTCGTTGCGTATCGTTCAGTTTAGCTTCTAACTCTTGTAACAATGTCCTTGTATATTTGGCAACTTTTGATCTACTCTCGTTCGCCTTTTCCAACTCCTTTGACTTGAAAAACAGTTCTTTCTCAATACGTTTCATTTTCTCCCTTAAATTAATAAACTTGTTTTCTAAGTCACTAGTTTCCCCCCTTTCTGAAGAGGTATCACTTGTCGGACTCAAGGCACCAAGTCCCCTTTCCTCAGGAATGGAGCTTAAAGGCTTCACATCCGTGGCCGGTGGACCATCTGTCTTGTCTCTATTATCGCCTCTGCTATCTTTTCTTTGGACGAGTTGCATTTTCAGATCACTAATATTAACAATGTACTTATTAATCATATTATTTGCTTCTTCCAACTTTGTAGTTTGTTCGCGAAGTTTTTTCTCTTGTTCGTTAACCTTTAGTGATAAAGTGCGTTTTTCCTTCTCAAACTCGTTCATCTTGTCTTGCAAATCGATAACCTGTATTCGTGCTTCGTTGAGAGCTTTCTCAGTGTCCATTTTGCTTCCCGATCTTTTCATTGAATTCGCATTTGTGACGTATTCCTTCCAGTAGTTCACTTCCAGCTCAAGTTTTCTTCTTTCTTCTTCTAGTTTTGGAATCTTATTCACTTCCAGCTGCAGTTTGCTGATTTTTGAGTTTAATCCATCAACCTAAAAAGAAACCGAATATACCATTTAACCAACAACAAACCTTTGATTGCAAATTTTCAAGTTTATATTAATTTTTTGAAGAAACAAGTTACAAATAACAAAACTGAAGATCGTTTGGTCTGAGTTCGAAAATTTTTCAGTGTTTAAATCAAAATGTAGGCAGACCAAAGTCTTTCATATAACGTTTCATTGGTAAAAAATCTTGTTCTCGACAAACTCTAGAAAGTTTCTCTTTTATCCAATCACCCAATGTGGTTTCAATAACGAAATCACAAACTTGCACAAGAACGATCTTTAGCTTTCATTACCTAAAACATGTGGCTAGGCAAAAAATCTTTGATTAACAACATAGACAGATTTGCAAAAATCACGACAAACAGAACTTTTCCGAAGAAAACAACCAAAACAGTCCGGCCTATCAAATGCGGTAGAATTACGAACAGCTGTCATTGACGTGGACACTGAACTGTTTAGCTTAAGGACTCATTGCTAAAGAACTCCCAAAAAACCTTTTCATGGCTTCTTTTCTCTACACCTATTAATCATTTTCTTATTTTGAGTTTTTTTGAATTTTGAAATTCTCGTCAGATTCTTTAGAATTTCTTCCGGAACTCATTCGCGATTTCACCGGAGTTTATTATCACTCTTTGAGATTTTTTACATCATGCGGGAGTAACCCCCCCCCCCCCTCCCGGGCTTTACTCAAATTCTTCAATGTTATGTAATAAACTTGTAATAAACTTGAAAACTAGTTGCTATTAACTTGAAATGCTATCAGCCTATACCAACTAAGCTATCAGCTACTGCCGTTCTACGAATATGGCCAAAATACTTTCTTTTGGTAAATACCCACTCACCTGAGTATTGTCTGCATCAGTCGTTGTAGCTGATAATGGTGATTTTGCAGTTACAGGTTTTATTCCTGATGAACTAAGGGGGCTTGAGAGCGTCTTGTTTAGCCATGGTTTAGTGCCTGTCAGTTGAGGCTTATTGGCTGCACCGGCGCCTGAAATTCATATTGTAAAATGGTTAGTTGATTGTCCAGAAAAGAATGCCATAATAATAAAGATAACCATACTATAACAGAATACAACGGATGGTCAGGGTCTCATTAAAAGAAGGAAATACCTTATAAATATATTGGTTCTGCTCACTACGATTTTTTAGAATTGCCACATTGAGCCTTCAGAGAACCACACCAAGGCAGACAAAATTAAACAGTCAAACACACATTTCTATAAGCAACTTTCGGCTTAACTAGCGGCAAAATTTGATTACTTAAAATTCCTTACAAACCCCTTAATTTTTTAAAAATTCCTTGAAATAAAAATTTGAACGAGTTAATGAAGAGCCGTAAAAAAGTCTGAAGACCAAATAAAAATGAATCATTGAAAACAATTTACGATTAATGCTGTTTGCGTTGTTCATACATATAAAATAATAATTTTAAGAATCTTCATCTTTTAATTAAAAAATTAAGAGTGTGAAAGCGTATCAGATTTCATCAAACTAGTTTCTGAGGTTTTGAATGCGTCAAATCTCTGAGCAATGCCTAGCAATGCTCCAGTACTAGCAATGCCTAGCAATGCTCCAGTACTAGCAATGTCTTTAGTTTGCCTACTCGAGTTCCACCTTCATTATAGGCAATTCCTTTAAAAAATTCCGTGTACAGTGACCAAAATGCTGTGACGCAGACCTAGTCTTCCAGTGGTATACACTTCACCTGACATTAAATCTTAGGAACAGTTATTCCATTGATCCATAGACCTCAAACAAATTCACATGAAAACACTTCTTATAAAATTTCTAACCTGAGAAAGGATTTTTATTGATAATGTCCTTATTCTCAGCAGTAATAAATAACAACAAACTTTACGGGTTTTTGCATCGTTTCTTGCCTTCCAGAACTCAAAATTTCATCCTCAAAATGATGTTTGTAAATTGTTTGAAAAATAAAATAATAAATCCATTTCTTTTCACAAATAATCCTGCCACAATGAATGACAACAATCAATCTATTCATTTTAGTAAAAAGAGTCCTTAATCAAAATCCCAAACATCAAAGTCTCATTTTTCTAGTAAGAAACAACAGTAGATGTTGAGTACTCCAGTGTCTTAACGTTCTGGATATTTCAATACTCGTTGCTTCTTAAGAGTTTCTTAATTATGATGTCATGAATAATGTTATGAAATGTTTGTGAACTTTTTTATCACGTCAAGAGATTCGCTTCTGTTCTGATGCTGTATTTAGATGTGGGAAGTATATTTGTATCCGTTGTGTCTTGAGTTCTAGGCCAACAGGGTAATCATGTTTTTGGATTTTACAAAATTTCGTTTTTCTCAGTTTTTTCACGATTTAATAATTTCTTAATTTTTTTGCTTCGAGTACTCAGTTTTCTTAATTTTTTCTGACCATCCAGTACTCGTTTCTTATAGTCAGTTTCTTATAAAAAATAGCGTAGTATAACATGTTTTCATCAAAGAACGAACTATTTAAAAACTACACGAATCGCGTTTATTCAAAAGCATTCGTTTCCGTCCTTTCGTTTTTAAATTTTTTCTTTTCTAAAAAATTAGATTTCAGCTAAACAGTACAAGGTGATAACAAATTTTTCCTTATTAAAGGAGCGGAAGGAATCACAAATAATGAAATAATCGCTAGAAAAAAGGACAAATATATCCCGTTTCCGAGTCAAAGACGATGTTAATCCGAATAGATGTGGAAGCCGGTGGAACTCAATAGGGTGACGTATGAACCCAATTTGAGTAAAATAGTCACGTTTTAATTAAATATTGCATGTTACGGGTAGAGATAATCTAATTGTGGCAAGACGTCTTTAAAAGAAGATTTTGCGCAATTTCCGGGTCTTTTCTTCAAGTTCTGGAAATCTGTTTTATACAGTAACAAGATACTAGGACATGAAACAAAGGCAAATAAAAAAGCGAAATTAAGAAAAGAGCCTCGCATTGGTATTAGTGGGGAGGTTGATCTATCAAAACAGTTCCGCTCTTTACGGAACTCTCTTAAAAAAAGCGGTGCTGTGTGTGGGGCATAGTGTCAATTTTTGGAAGGTTTTCGTCGCTTTTAGGTTTTTCTCGAAGGCTACGAGGTTGGAATTAGGAAGATATCTCTGACAAGAGCCCTTATAGATACCCGGGAAAAAGAAATGAGAAAGAATAAGATGTATCGATCACTGACAGGGGTGGGGGCTTTCGAAACTAGTACTCTTCTCTTTCCCCTTTCATCTAGAACTACAGTCCAATCATGCTATCCAAAAAGAAATGATAAATACAAAAATTTATGTCAGCGCGTCGCTTGATTACATTTGACTAGGCCTGCGAGAGTGACGGGCAATATATGAGGACATGAGTTAATATGAAAACATTCCATATCTTAGGGAGTCATTGGCCGGGCTCACTTGTGTGTGTGGCCGGACTCACTTTTTTGTGTGGCCGGGCACACTTTTTTGTGTGGCCGGGCTCACTTTTTTGTGTGGCCGGGCTCACTTTTTTGTGTGGCTGTTGGTCTTTTCATTAGCAGTGCTACTATGGCTCTGATATTCTGCATTCACGACCTTGGTTAAATAATCTCGAAAGTCAGCACGTACAAATAATCCGATAAAACATTTACAATAAAGTTTCGACTGGCTACACGGAAAGTAAATTTTAAGAAGTAGAGGCCTACTGACATCTAGATTTAAAACAACATTTAAAACAATGGATTGACAACTTGGCTTGAAGAAAACGGGTCTTAAAATTTCATGCATTTTAATTGTCAATTCCCCATGTCAAATACCTTTCTATCTGGGTCTAGCTGTCTCTAACTGTTTCTATCTGGGTCATTTCTTCAATAAAGGCGTTTCTCGGCCAAATCATTTAGTTCGCATAAGCACTGAGATTGGATCAAAAAGGCCCTATATATAAGTTGGCCTCTGGCTGACAAATCCTTTAAGAACTAAACAAAAATTCAAAATGGCAGTCAGCCTTAACTCACTCTGGGCACGCTTCATTGGTGAGGGTACAAATGTTGATAGCTCTTTCCACCAGTTTTCAAAATCGACTTTGTTCGCAGCTTTTAGGTAAATCCCATCTTTAAGAGACTTCAATCCAACAGAATTCTCCTCGCCGATTTCACTGTGGCCGTCCAGCATACGAATGAAATCCTGTAGTACGATGACACCGATGGACTTGTTTCGCATCACCTAAGAAAATAAGACATTCCAATGTTAGTGGCAGAAAGGGATTAAGGGTAGCAAGAATTCGTTTTTGACCATGATTTTATCAATAAATCTTTTCAGCTTATATTAAACCATTAACGGCGAGCTTATTTCGATGTACTTATTCATATCCCTGACGCACTTCGCCCTAATCAAGTAATAGCATTTAAATTCTAAAACTGCGCGGCAAAAGGACAGTTTTCCAATAATCCTTTCAAAGCTCTACTTCAAACATCAAAGATCAAAACACAAACTTTAATTTCAGGTAACAAAAACATTTTATAATTAGAGGGAACTGGGTGGCCTCGTGGTCTGTCAACATTAAAAGCAGAAATTGGAACGTGATCAACCTAAATTCCATAAGAGGCAGTTGTTACTTAAAACAGCAACAATATCAGAATGCGTTTCAACTGATAGAATATTTTCAAGAACTGGCAACAAGTGCAAAAAGGCTGGATTTGCTACAAAGTTTTCAAAAATGTGACTAGATTGATGCTAAAAAATACATTATTAGTAATGTCTGAAATGAGCGCTGTGTTTTATTCCTTTATTTCAGTAGATTGATTTATAATGGCAAATACAGGTGTGCAGACACCCGTCTAATAATCACGATTATTGTATCCTGCAATCAATGTCTTTATAAAACCCCCTGCTACAGAACAGAAGGACGAGCTCATGGAATATGCAACGACGCATGTCCACAGAACCATAAATTGCACAGGCGATGTTTCAGCGTAGCCGAAGTGGCAACGAGGACTGGGTCCAGAATTGGGTGTAACACACTCATAAGCCTGAAGCGATTTATGGCCCACTGTTTAACATGATGTATGTTTAATGAATTTATCAGGAACAATTGCAGAGAATATTTTTGATATGCAAATTATGCTAATTATTTGGAATATCAAAATACCTCTCCATCTTCAATAGGAAACTCTTCTAATTCACCAGACGAATACAACACATACCATCTTTTCACCCATGTCTGCAAAAAAGGACAGAAAATACATTAACCAGAGAACCTAAGAAGACTACTAAAACATAAAAACAGGCATAAGTGTATATATTCAATAATTTTAACAAGAGGGCGGTATTCAGGGACTAAAATAAGATAAATCATCTCGTGTGTTCAGACATCTTTGATCTCTTCAAAACTTAGCATTAACTGCAGTTAAACATTTAAATTGAAGGAAAATCAGGCCAAAACAAGACTTTGAAGCACTTTATTCCAAGGTCTTTGAACGATAAATAATAGAATAATCCATTCAACACTTTCAGGAGTAATCTTCCAGAAAATTTTTTTTAACTTTATTACGAGGTCAATCTTATTTAAATATGAGGAATCGCTAGCGACTGATCAGGAGGGAAGCAACAAATCTTATCCTTTCCTAACCGCAAACAAAGTTGATTCCCACACTCATAGGTCACTGGTGGATACATAGAGAAAGGACGGCAACTCCAATTTGACCAATTTGTGTGGTATGGTAGGGCACTGCCGGAAATGATGAGCTTTATCTAATTAGAAATGTTATTCAGAGACAAAACCGTAGACTTTCTATTAAGAACAGGTTTAATATAGTCATGCACCGACGAAGCATTGCTATCTCTCTTTTTATTTATGTACATACAAAGTTTTTTTATAATAATACGACTGTTAGCATAACACTTATTTGTAATTGTGATCCTAAATATCTGGGTTTGTTTAAATAAACAATGACAAATTGAATTTGGATTCAAAAGAAAGCTGTTTGCTTTAATGGTAGAGCCAAAGACCAACTGAAAGTCTTTAACTAGTATATGAATTGAAATAGGATGATAAAGAGACATCTGAGTTTACAACCGGGGATAAAAAAGCTTGGGTAGGCGACGGCAAGTTAGTTTTCCATTCTCTAATCTAGATGACTACACTCTGCATACATAAAATGGCATATACGTGCTTGATTTCTGGTTTTGTAGCTGCTGGTGCGATCTTTATGTTGAAAAATATCTACGTGGGAAAATTAAGAGTCAACATTGCTCATAAGTGCCAATGCATCCATACGCTACATACATACGACACTATGGGAAGGGGTTCATGCCCCCTGTCAATGATTTGGCTTGTTAATGGTGTGATGGGGGAGGTTGGAAAGCTTTATCTATTTTACCCTACCAAACTTGAATATCCAATCCGGCCTCTCCAAAACCTTTCTGAACCCCAAACTTTGAGTGTGTGCAAGATCCACTGATTTCAGGTAACTAACCAACTGAAAGCATATCATTAGAAAAGATAGGATTTCCGAGTAGCACCTTTTGACACTAAGTTAAAGCGTCCTTTAATTGGTACAACATCCACCATACTATTCACTCTATGAACCGCTGGCTCAATATTTCGTGTCAAAAACACTTGTTGCTTATTTTCCCATGTTATGGCATTAGCGTAAACATAAATATTGATGCAGTTGGGTTTGCTTTTCTGTATCAGGAACAATTGGCAAAGCAGAAGATATGACTTCACCCGCCATAAAACCAACTGTTATTGATGTGGGTGCATAATTTACCCAAGACGGACTAAAAACTTAAATCCACTTAAATTCAAATTGCAGATGGTAGTGGGAGTGTTAGGAGTGTCGCCCCTAACATGGAAGCTGAAGTTCTAGCAAATTTCGCTTTGAATGCAAGGTGTTCAATACCATAAAAATATTGCGAATTTAAAGTAAATTTGAGCTGATTGCAACATGAGCTTAGGTGACCTGACCTGTTTATATTCTTACCATCGCTTGTGGTCATATTTTCTTTGCCTAGTAAACGAACCGGCCTCCAAATTTGAAGTGCTTCTTTTTATGCTGTACTACACTTTAGCCTTGTACTGTTTCTAATTTATTTTAATTTCAGAGGACTCCTAGATGATTCTTTAAACCAACACAAGACCAGGGTCAGGAAAACGTCATGGCCCCACGGCCACTGGCCGGAGGAAGGTTGTAGAATCTCGAAAAAATTGAGGAAGGTGACCAAAAGTGTAAAAACTTGATGCAGTTGAAGAAATCCTATTGCCTTTCCTTTTAAAAATACAGTCAGAGAAAATTAAAAAAGATCAAAATAAAATCTATAAACCTCTATAAACACCCTTTTGTTATTAATTGATCTGTCTCAAAAATATCTATGGTTGAGAACAAAGAGACCACTTATTTCCTGACCACGCCCAAAAACCAATTAAAGACGAGGAAGTTTTTATAGTAAGATTTTCTTGCCCGGAGGAAGGTTGACCATTTTTCTGGACTCTGTACAAGACCCGTTACAACCAAATTTGAATCTTTTACTACACGCTTTTTTTATAAAGAACCACTTTATAAGGAACCTACATGTAGAAGGTCGAAATATTTAAAGAACTTATACTACTAAAAACGAAATCACTAAGGAACTTCTCGATTTTGTAAAATATTTTACAACTGCAAGCATCAAGAACTAAAAAGCTGGTTCCACTCATTTTCAGCCAATACTCGCATAGACTGTTTGCTATTCGTGTGTCAAGTGCATCATTGAGTAGTTGCCCCCCTCTCTATTAAGTGTTAAGGCTTTTTTTTGTAGTCAAAAAAAATTAAGGAACTATTAAGGAACTTTGGGTACTACAATTTGATGATTTGAGGTCTACGAATAAGGAACTTTTTCGCTAAATCATTTTAAGGAATCATTTTCGCTAAATCATTATCAGCATTGATAAAATGAAAAAACGATTAAACATTAAAAGGGAGGATGTTTTCTCTTCTGGAGAACGCTTGCTTGATTGTTTACTTCGGGTTTCATAAGTTTAAGGGAATCAAAAGTATGTAAAAATGTTTTTGAAAATACTGTTTTCTGCTCTTAAGAAACGATTAAATTCATTCAAAAAATTTAAAAACAATCGTCAAGTCTTTCAGACACTTGCATGTGATTATATTGACAGCAACATGATTACGTCATACGCTGGGCACAGTTAGATGGCTGATCTTCGATTAACGACATGAAAATCTTACAGATGCTGGCAAAAACTGCACAAGATGTCGATAGAAACAAATCAGGTCATGTTAAAAAATAATCTTTCTTAAGCCGGTCTTAAAGGGACAGATAGATATTCGAGGTCATAATTTGGCTGACAAAATCTCTATAATACAAAATTCGCAGTTATCTTAAGCTTGTCACCGCCCAATATTATCTAACGTGTATATTCTTAAGAACTGATACTTCAGTATCAAAATTGATGGGGAAATTCACACACTAGAATTCTTCTCAGAATGTTTCTAGAATTTTTCTCAAATAACACATAACTGAACATAGAACAAATAAAAGCGGGAATTAATACGTCAGCACCCGTTATGAGACTAGCAGCAATCGTGTGGCAAACCATTCCCTATTTATGCAAAACCTGTGCCCCATAGACAACGTACTGTGCAGTACTGGAAAAAGTGCCAAAGCAATTGCAACTCCGTTCCAGGACAATCCGAGGGCGCGTCAATCTACGACTATATATATATATATGTATATTTGAGATTCGCCCGAACGAGATGATTTGCGGCGGACTGAGACCTATCGACCTGAAAGAGATCAAAACACGCTGGCAAATTTTCGACATACGCTGACCGCTTTTCGCAGAAATGGAATTCTTTCTACCTGGAAAAGGATTTCTAAACCGCATCCACGAAATTTCTTCGCGTGGTCGACTAATCCAATATAAAGGTAAGGCGATGACACGCCCATGAGTCCACTGACAAAAAAGATTTTGCGAAGATAAATGTTCTAGTTCGGGCAATTTAACAATCACTATCTTAACACAAAATAAAGAAAAAGATATCGGCGAGCTTGCATGGATCAGAAACAAATGCGGGGATTTGACAATGAGCCAAAAGGGATGAGCTAATTCTCTTTTTTATTGGTTATTGGTCTTGCAGCTTCCCCCGATACTTGCCAATCACAGTTTTTAGGTCTGCCCTAAACAACACCATTGGTACTACGATTTTAAGGTATTAACGGAAAATAAAAGAACATAGTGACCAACAACTTATGAAACTGTATAAAATGAAGATAGAGAAGAATGTATATACCTTTAGGCTAGCTATTTCAATTATCAGAGGGCCATATTTGTCATGATGAAAAGGAGTAGAACCTGGTCAAAACGAGGCCTAAACACCCTACCTAACATGCAGCTACGCGTATTGATCAAAAAAAAAAAAAAAAATTCAAATACAGTGAAATCCCGCTATTAGGAGCCCCGCTTAATTTGAGCTTCTCGCTATTACCAACGATAAGTATGGGACCTCCGTGTATCAAGTACCCTCGGTATTGCCAACTCCTGCTATTAAGAACATTTTCCTGGTCCTACAAAAGTACAATAGTCGTAATATGAGGTGATTTCACTGTACTGTACTTGTATAATGCTCTATTAACATTGCGACAGCATTCGTCTTAACTGGGCAAAATGAATCAACCGATTGCTAAAATTCTATATTAAAATATAATCCCTCATTGAAACATCTGTTTCTCCTCTTGAAGTTTTTGAATGGCTTGCCTAGCGTGACACTGGAGACGATTCGAAAGGCTGCAGGTTCTGTCACAGTCAAACTGTTCGGATTTTATCGAAGCTATTTAAGCTTCACGCAATTGCACTATCCTGTGACATCAAAAGGCTACTCAAAGTAAATCTGCTACTAAAACTTTGCCTCCCGCATTTTCTCTCCGTATCGTTTACATTATTTCTACCAAAAATAAAAGGGTCGTAGTTAGTTGCATAGCATCTGGCTTGGAAAACCTAGTGAATTCTCGAATAAGCATACAGCGACTCCCATTAAAAATCTTGAAACAAACTGCTTAAAAGCACCATTACCTGGAGCTTTTTTAAAAGCCTTGCTATATTTCCTGGAAATTTTCGCGCAATTTCATAACGATAAAGAAGAGTCTTTGGTCATATGATTTCAGCGAAGGTGAAAATTTCTGATTATTGTTGTTGAGAAGGTGAAAGTAGGTGAGATAGCCAAGGCCCTGTAGTTTTAGGCTTATATAATTTCACCCAAAGGAAAGGGTCCTACCATTCAGCCATTGTTAGAGTCATAAGTTTTATGAGGCTGTGGAGTATATTACAGATTGATGTGGCTTAAACGTTCTGAGGGGGGTAAACATGCTAGAAGACCAAGGCAATCTTTGGATGGCTTTAAGTACATTTTGGAAAATATAAGGGGGTGGGGCTAAAGCTCAAGTGGTGCTTTGAGCTTAGTAACTCTACCTGTATAACTGACTAGCTATGCAGAAACTTGCCTTATTTTGTAATCTCTAAAAACAACTTATGCTTTTCATTGACAGATTTATGACATGCAGCGGAAAATCAATTTGATAATTTGAATAAATAATACATTGTAGCATTTAGAAATGTCAAGGATCAATCCTGGGTTTCTTTCATGAGCCACAACTTCAAAATTGATACTGTAGTTGCAAAGTTTTAGTGAATGTCGATCCTAGTTATCTTATGCTGGTAAAGTTGCTTGCAAAATCAATTATATATTTGTTTCAAATAAGTGCAAGCTCTGTTGTCTCTCATTTCTGTTCCTTTTTTCTGTTAAGCCATTGCTTTAGTAGCCCCTAATTAATGATAAAAATTTTTGACATAATTGCAAAAATCACAATTCTCATCAAGTCATTGTGGTGCTTTTTGAGCTCTGTAACATTACTTGAAAAACGAGTGCGAGATTGGTTGAATTGTCAGATTCTTTTTCCGAACAAGTTATTTCAGTAAACATTTGCAAGGCAATTTGGGGTGAGGGGGCTCTAGAGAAATTAGTAATATTTTATCTTAGTTTTCACAATTATCCTAAATGCTACAGCCTCCCCCAGCTCAAGTAGTTTTGGGAATGGAAGCCTAGGAGTATAAATTTGTGTTATGTTATATATTTTACTATAACTGAATGTATTTGTTTCAGTCTATCAAATGCCCACTCAAGCTGTTGCACAGATAAACAGTTGATAACTTTACTTTAATGACTTGTTGTATAAAAAAAATTGTAAGAGTTTCAGTCTCTGTTTGATCCTGGAATTCCCTAGTTTATAAAATTTAAAAAAGGAATAGTAGCATTCATGAGAACATTATGTCGCTACAACCAATCTGATTATAGTTTGTGGAATTTCTTAAAGAGGTCCTTCCTTGGTATGCAGCACCACACTAAAACAAGGCCCAGGTCAATCTGATTATTTGCTGGTTAAACTTTTTACTTTAAAGAATTATACCTGAACTGTGTTTCCGCCAGGATTCAATGTTCCAACAGATAAGGAACCCTCTTTGAGTACAGTCTTGATGGTGGTTGTATTCTGCAGGAGAAAAACAAAAACAAATATTACTGATGTGCCAAGAATTGCTCTATGTGTTTCTGAACATTTGACTCAGGTAGTAGTTGGACATAAATGCAAGTGCAGACAATTTGTAGACAAAAACAAATGTTCAACTAGTAACTTTGCTTAGCAGAGTAAATGAACTAACAAAGAATTTATATTGATGATATTGTAACTCTATGACAATATGAAACAGTTTATGTCAATTCTTAGAGTGAAAACTAAAATCAAATAACAATTAATCCTTTAGATTATACAAATTTATATGACCAGAACTTTATAATGATGGTGTCCAGACAGAGACTGAACAACAAAGTTGCATTAGTCTTCAGACCACAAGCTGTCTAACACACTATACATACATAATTAATAATTTTAACATCCAGTGGCCTAAAGCCCATTTTCCTGTTCTTAATGAATTTTGTAAAATAAAAAAATAGGATCTCTCTTTGATGTGAGGGTATTGGCTTAGGAAGCTCTGCTCATTTTGCTATGGATATAAAAGTTACTAATTGTTTGCTCTTGTTTTTGCAGATTCTCTCTTTTACACAAAATGAAGTGCCTTCAATCAAAGGATGCATATTTTTAAGCTTGAAATTTGATATTTGAAATTTGGACAAAAAGGAAACAAAATTTTAGAACATTACTTTATAATTTTTGTTGATTTTGATGAACTGATACAAAAAGATTAAAACCTCATAACTGGCAAAAATAGATGCAGCAGGAAGAATTTTCAAAACAAAAAATTTACTTAATATTTTAATATTATTACAAAAAAAGCAATATTACAAAATGATTTTGAAAGTATGCATTACATATTTTACTGATAGAAATATAAAAATTTATAGAAAATGGGGTGCAATCAATCTTTGACAATAGTTCAGTTCAGTTCAGTTCGGTTCATTTCATTTTTAAAACTAAATTTCTCATTTACTAAACTCAATAACTAAATTTCCTTAGTTGTTCGATAGACTCTTGGACTCTTACAATGGAAATTACAGCTTAAAGCCTTTCTTTACAAACATCAGATTTCTCTTCATAAACAGTTGCCCAATGGCTGCATTAAGCATAAAGCTTTATTGTATGTCAAAGCAGGAAAAGCTCTGCCTGTATGACATTGATCATTATATAAGATAGACATGTAAACCATCATTTTAATTCATATTCCTGTAAATTGACATAAATTATAGCGACACCAGCAGTAATTACAGGAGCAGTAATGATCATATTCTAAATATCTGCTTTGAGAATTGTTCCCAGAAACAATGAAATACCAATTTGAATCAGATGGATCACTCTTTCCAAATTTCTGTGTAACAGAATGAACATGATTCTCTAGATCATTTTTATTCAAAGTAACATAATAAGCCCCTACACCATCATTTCACAATCATACATAATCCAAAATGTATTATTATAAAAGTTCATTGAACATCCTTTAAGCACATTTAACACATATTAAACAGTATATTTCAAGGTTGAAGGAACTGGGAGTGCTTTTCCAGAACTCCCATTTTTAAAGAATTTTAACAATATCTTTGAACTATAGGTGTAGCAGATGCTAAACATTTAGGAGGGCTTAGAACTGCCTAAATGGAGCCTGAAATGTGATCAACTTTGCCAGATTAGGGGGGCTGCAGTCCTTATAGCCCATATGCATATGCTGGCAAGGTCCTTGATATTCTAAAAACAATAAAATGGTTGGGAAAATATTCTGCCTTTTGTCTTTTTGTTTACCTAAACAGTTGTTTACACCTTCAGTCTAAAATGAAGTATGCCAGTAAACAAACAAATAAACTATATAAATAAACAGCCACCAGACAACTGGCTGAAAAACTAATTTTCACACCAGCTTGATACCTTATTAGACTACTTATAACTCGTTAAGAGCTGCATTTAAGACTTTTAGGCAGAATGAAGTTATTGTGCTTAGTAACGTAATTGATTTGGCAACTGGTTGAGTTTTTTTCATCGGTTGCTGTCTTCCAATTAAAATTAGGGCAACATCAGTCTCAAAAAGGCAGTCAGTGTTTTTAAAAATAAATCGCCCAGTATCTAGCTGCGCTCAGTCAGCTTGATCATTTGGTTATATTCTTCATGACGGAAGTAAATCTACGAAGCTAGAAATCTGAATACTAAAGATGGGAAATCAAAGGAAGGAGATCTTCGAGTTTTGCACGGACAGCTGTTTACCGTTAATAACAACAATCCAACGAAAAAACCGTTGCATGCAGCATCCTATGGTATAAATAGTGCTATAATTGCTCAGCATGACTTTTGTTTTTCAATTTGTAATCGGCTCACAAGATCAAACTTTTGTACTGGGACACTTCAAACCGTTTTACATAACATCCTTAAAAGTGGCCTAACAATCCGACTCCGGATTGTATGGTGAACTTTTGGCGTGGTAATTTCCAGAGCTACAAATACCATAATCAAAGTTTATATAAATGCACAGAACAGCTAATGGCTTACTTGGTCTCGATTAGCTGGAAACGATATTCCTCTCTTTATTTTCCCGCTGGATTGTTGCGGGGGCCCAGAGGGGTGGCCCTCTTTCGGCTTGTAGCAGTTTTGACATTTGGTTGGATTAAATATATTCGGAGCAAAAACTTTGCACGAGCCACGCTCAGACATCTTACTATAGAATAATGTTCACTCCAAGCTGGAGTCCAATTATCGCCTTCCAAATAACAGCATTATGTGACGATTCCTCATTTTCTCAGTCACTGAGTCATGATCTTTCCTAAAGTTGTCTTGCAACCTACCAGCATAAAACGGCGTTATGGCTACGATATAATAAGACCAAGAGAAATAAACGTCACTGATGCTTATGCATCCCACTATCTTTGCCACATGTGTCTTCTACATTTATCGCTTCTCAAAGATAAACGAGATGTTCTCACTTAGATGCAATGGTTGGCCTTAGTAGTACCTGTCTTGCAACTCTATATTGTCGCCGCCTCACGAAATGAAGGTGTCTGGAGGAGGTTTTAAAGTTTCATGTCAAATGTCATGCTTTTGAAGGAGGACTAAAATCCCATTGAAAACTAGAATTTATATCTTCAAAAGTATGCAATTTATTTGTGCTTTGTGAACTTGAGACAGTCGTCATTTCGTTTCAATTCGCCCCAAAATAGCTGTCACATTCTGAAAGCATTTGCATTCTATTAGAATAATTTATTTCTTCAAGTTTGTAAAATAAACAATAACTGAAAACACGACTAAATTTCTTAATTGTGAAAGTTGACAGGCAAAACTCGTTGCGCACAGCCGGCTTAAGGGAAATGAGAAGGATTTTGAACTTAAATAAGTTCTGTTTTTGCACAAATGATCAAAACTCCTTCTAATCCTTCTTAAATAGCTCTGGCTTTCAAAAATGCATTGTTCCTTGATCTACGTAAAAATTCCTGTCCCCTAGGCCATAACTTTTTAACACTCTGGAGCAGAACAATAATCCTTATTAATAATAAATTCTAAAGACACTTTCTCTTGTGACTGCTGTTCTCCAGCAAAACAATTTATACTGAGAACGCCCCGAAAACCATGACTTGTGACAGATACAAACGTAGACCCGTGAAATAGAGAGATGGAAAGGCGCATGCGTGTTTCTGCATTCTTTGCCTCCTCTATTCAACAGGGTTGGTTTCTCTGAGGAAGGGCAAGTAGGCCGCAATTTAATCATATCCTCGATATGTCAACAATGGTATTTGCTTTGTTCTTACATCCTATTGTGGTGGTTTGGATCTTTCAAGCATTCTCAAGGGCAGTGATCCTACGTCAAAAAGGTTGCACCCGATTAACGCAATGCTATTCTTGAAAACAACTTGTTATCCTCTGTAGCATACCGCACACACATACCAGCAAAAGGGTTTCTTTCTGACATTTAAGATCGATTCTTGGCTCCTATTTCGATTTGGCTGAAGGAAACTTAACTTGGATAGCTTTGGGGTCTCTTGGACAGCACATCTCTAAATATAAGATATGACACTGTGCTAAATGTATCAAAATGCATATACGAAGTTTCCTTGTTACTCCACTCAGCTAACACCACATTGTAAGCCTTGGGGCTATGAGGCCTAGTTAATCTCCTACGAAACTCGATAGATAGGCCCCGTTTAAAATTCTTTCGATTTTGGATTATTTGGAATTTTCAGCGGATGATCCAGATTATCGACGCTTTTCTGATTTGATTTGGATTATAAAAGGATTCCTAAAACAGTTTTGGATAACGGACTATTTGGTTTTAGTGAGATTAGTGGCCCTTCGTGAAGTTCTTGTGCATCCCTATAGGCTATTCTGCACCCTGTCGATTCCCATCCACCCTGCAAGACAACAAAAGCAGACAAGCACACAGCATTTTTGATTGATGTCTCGCACAGGGACCGCGCACCAGTCTAAATGTGGGAGGGCTGAAAAGGGTATGATCGAAGAAATTTTAGGCCACGCCCTCTAGAACGCCGGAAAACAACCCTTTTAGATAATACTTGCTGATTTGTACTGAACATTTAATTCAGAGAAGTTTTCAATAGCTATAAAAACAGAAAAAATTAGCTTGGGGATAATGAAACATCAAGAAAAACACCTAGAAAATGAACAAAAGGGTTCCCAGTCAAGAACAACTGCTACTTCTTAAGAGTATACTATCCAATGTTGCGATAAAGTATAGTTAGAGTAAGCTTTCAAAAAAGCTTTCTAACCTATTATCGTAAAAAAGTGGAGGGACTATAACCCCTGCTAGCCCAATGACAGCGTGTTGCCTGGTCTCGCACACTAATCTCTGCTTTAGGTACTTCAGTGCTCGGCTCTAAGTAGAATATTTGTTAGTATATCAATATGGTCACCATTTGGTACCCCTTAATCACCTAAAAGTTATTGATGGGGGTCATACAAAAGGTTAGATGCCATCACTTTCAAGATGAAATCTTCGAACCTGGAGGAATTAGAATACGGGACGTGCTTGAAAAGAAACATTTTTATCCTTAATACACTCTTCCCAGTGCAGGACCCGCGTCACCGATTCTAAAGTGGGGAGGGGGGCAGAAAGGGGGTTAATACCTAGGCCCTGTCTCAGTGGTTTATTGTAAAGTTTAGGCGTCTTTCGAGCGTAACTGTAGACTGTGATGTGAAAGAAAAAATATCGAAATGTTTCGATCGATGGCAAATCGAAATTACCTCCAAATATCTTTCAATTTCAGACATATCGAAACTTGGAATACTAAAAGCCGATAAGCGAACACGGCGATTCAAATGGCATCGAAGGGCTGTACCAAGTTATTGCAAAAGAAGACGAATATGCTACTGTTTGGGTCAAAACTAGCAAACTGTTGGCAAGCTACTCTTCATCAATACACTCCAAGTTGGAAAACATGTATGATTTTGCGGACGCATCAATGCGACCAACGGCACATTGTCAGTTGAGACCTGAGACCTGCGAGCGGAAGCATTCGAGCTGTGAGCAACATTACTATAGTAAGGTTTATGAATTTCTTGATATTTTGGGTCACTAGAGGTGCGAGGTGCGAGCACAAAAAGTCTAGCGTCGCTGCGAGCTTATGCAAGTTTTCCCGCCCGGGATACACTCTTGTTTCTTATAAAAATACTTTTAAAAGAACTCGAGCGCTATCAAAATTGGTCAAAAGTTCAGAACAAATTAAAAACAAGCTGAGGTTGAGCTACTGTAAAATTTAATTTTGAACGTAGGATGTCTCAGCTCAATTCTTAAAAATTTGGGTGGCATTTTGGTGAATTTTCAAACTTGTCGGCAAATAGTAGGCAAAAATTAGCAATTTCTTTCATTACACCCTAATAATTTGAAAACAAATTAAGAACAATCTAGTCTCAGATTTTCTACAAAATTAAAAACAGCCAGCCAGAAATTCAATTTACTGGTTCTTATAAAAAAGAGGGCGGTTAATTAATAAAAAATCAAGATGTGAGAATAAGAAGAGGTATTTGAACGTAGAAACAATAAAATAAGAAAAGAAGATCTCAATCACCAAGCTGAGCGAGGCAACGACGATCGCCCCGCTGCGCCTGTGCTTTTGTGCACCAGGAAGCAGGGTACTCACGCCACTGCGTGTTTCCTCCGCAAGGTCTTGCTAGGTTGTGGAAAAAATTCCTGGGTGGTAAGAACTCTAAATGAACATTTATAGTATAACTGTTGTCAATAAGGAGTCATAAGTCCTTACCTTTGCCCAAAGACCGAGAAGATTTAGTCTGAGAACCCTGACGTTAGGCCCAGCCATCGTCTTGGGATGAAATTGCCTATTTGGTGGTTTGGCGCGATTCCCCGAAGCAGACATGTCTGGAAATCAAGCCAAAGTGATCGTGTACAGTACTGTTCAAACGGCGTTCGAGAGCTCCAAACGGAGCGACAATCGCTTCAAAGGAACTTTAAGTTCATGATTTTCATCCCTGACCAGAAACATGCAGACGTACTGAAAATTTCCTCGCATGATATTTTATCATCTGGAGCACTTCCAGTTTATCACAACCTGACAAGCTACTCCTCTTTGTTTCGTAGTGATCTTTTATCCATATGCTATGACTTTAATTTGCGGTAGGCCGAAAATTGACAATTGCTACAGTTCTCAAATTGCGTACGACAATTGGCCTAGGTCCTTAGGCAAATATATTTGTATACATATAAATTCGATCATCACACTTTCGCCTCCAAGTCTCAAATTCCAAACATAGCCCAGGCACTTAAACGTAGCTTGTTTTTCTTCTGAGTTAAACTACATTTCTAGCGAGCAGCCAGACTGGTATTACTGTTGCCGAGAAAACGTGCTAAATTCTGATGCACTGCACTGCATGCCAAGATACACCGTCATGATTCGCAATATGAGCGCTTCCGTTGACAGAAAAACACCAGATACTTGATTGATAATGACTTCTCAATACAGCTTTGACCAATATCATCTTCATTAACTATTGACAAACTTCAATTCTCTTTATACAGTTGTCATTCACTTGTCTGACTGTCAAGAAGAAACCTTAGAACCTCTACCTGCCTTTTCTGTCCTAAATAATGTTGCGAAATTTGTGTGTTTCTAACATTTCCTCAGAGATAAGTTTCGAAGGCATTTATGACGTCATATTGCCATCGCTAGTGTTCTTTGTTTACAAAGACCTCTTTCAAATAAGGTCACACCGTTTTGAATTTAGTTCCCACCCGATCCTGCTTTTAATATGGGTTTCATGTTTACCTCTATTTCATCGGTTTTCAAAACTAAACGATCAGGAATGCACCAATTTAATCATTATCAACGCTGCTAGTGTTCTTTTTTCAGTTTTGAGACTGCTTTTCAAATCACTCGAATTAATACCCACGATCCTTTCTCATCGACCCCTTCTATTTTGCATCTCATCAGGTTTTGGCAAAATAAAAATCCAAGGGACAAAAATCCAATGTGTATTATTTTCTTAACAGTCACAGAAGTACGTCTTTTTAGTTTTTGGAAGTGCTTATGTTCAGTAATAACACAAAAATATTCATAGGCCCAGGCAAAATGAAAGCTGGCCTTTGCATTTAGCCATACAGATTAAAAGATGCAGTCTTTCCTTCTTCCGGGACGAAAAAGGGGCCCATACCTCAGCCTTGCTCTGTACAACCTTACTTATCAAGAGACCTCCTTCGATCGAACGTTCCATATTCCGATCCATTTAATTCGATCCTTCACATAAAACCTAATCAATACGGATTTTACATAATTTTTCAAACCGTAATCCCGTCATCCTAGAATTCAAACCATCTTTATTTGAAATTAAAGCTTCTGCTGATTCAATTTCAAATAACTTCAACTTTCTCATAGTTTCTTTGAAGCATGAATGACGCCATTCTAAAAATACTCACAACTTCTGTTCTTTACTTCTAACTTCTAAAAATTATAAACAATTATACATCGATGCATGAATTCATACCACTTCTTGCGTAAAAATGAGACATTTGAACGTTTCTATACTCTTTTTACAATATATTCAATTAAGGTACTAGTTTCGATGTGATATTCACAGAAATGGAGAGCTTTTAGGAGACGTCTTCTGCTTCAGTTAATTCTGCCAGCCAACAATCTCTCTTGTAAAAAAACTCCATGCTCTGAACATAGTATTTGTTGATCCTGAAAATAGGGCCTATGAAATTTCCGTTAACAAAGCTCCACCGTAATTGATGCTAAAACATTGATTGTTTTGTCTTGAATCCGTTCTTTCGCTCCGTAATGATCCTTCTATGGAAATAGGCCAGGCATACACTCTCTAGCTGAACGTCAATTCCGACAGAATATTGAGTTTCGTAGTACTTCTTATCATATCAGGAAGACTAAACTGACATCTGCAGGAGTTTCTTTATCTTCAGAGTCATTCACTGGTTTTTTCTGCTGATAAAAACATTTTCATCAAGGATCTCAATTTAAGTATAGAAAAAAGACTAGAAGTAAAAAAGCCACAAAATCCTCATTTGCAAGGAGGGAATGGGTAGGAGGTCAGAAGTTGGCTTGTTGATTTCAAACAGGCAAAGAAATTAAGTTATTCAATTAAATCATAGAAGTAATTATACCTCAAAAAATCTTAGATAAATTATGCATAGAATTAAGCACCTCTCTATCTTAATTATGCGAAGCTAGGCAACATTTTCAAATACGTGATCATGTCATAAAAAATGCTTGACGGTCGCCAAACATCTTGGTAACAATCCTTGATCAATTTCGTCTTATGACATGGTTGCCAAACTAGTTCAACTTTTATATAACACGAATTTCAAAGCAGCGCGCACACAAATGACGTAATACTAGAGAAATCAGATACTGAGGAGTTTACTAGTTCACTGGGAGGACCTTATCTTAAGAAAAGAAAAGTAACTATGATTAAACCATGAAAGAAAATCGACCTTTTTGGGGGGAAAGTACCGTAATGCCTCGAACAAGCGCCCCCCTCAAATAAGAGCCACCCTCGAATAAGCGCCCACCCTAGAGGTGAAGTTATTGAATGAACGGCCCCCTCGAATAAGCACCCATCCTCGAATAAGCGCCCATCCTTCAACCTACAGAAATGGAAACAGTGAAGTAAAGTAACAGTAGCCAACCGTACAGTCAATGGCGTAGCATGAGCATGACCTTCAAGACTGCGGGGAGAGGGGGTGGGCATTATCTCTGGTGGAATGTAAGAGTAGTAAATTTACCGATGAAGAAATAGATGAGGAGAAGTTTAGATGCTATTTCACCAACTGATAGATAAATTTACCGACAAACCAAGGATTCTTTATACCATCTGAAGATTTACCGACAAACCCATGGAGAATTTGGGTCGACACACCCTTACACCCCCTCGCTAGCTACGTCCCTTTGTACAACCCGGATCAGCGATGGTGAAATCGAAAATCAAAGGCTGCCACCAACATTGTTAGTTTATTCTCAAATGCATTAGTTGCACAAAGAAAACCTCAAGAGAGTACGAGCTCAAGTACCGTAAATCCTATTTATATTTAATATTTTTGGATGGGGGCTTATTCAAAGGGGGGCTTATACGAGGGGGGTGGGGTTTATAAAATTATTGTAGACATTAAAAAGACATTATTAAAAGACCTCGTTTATTTTACTAGGAATTCCTTTATGTGCATTTAATTAATTCTTACTAAAAGTATGAATTTGTTGTGGTAATTCAATAAAGCGCCATAGGCAACCTCAGATGGCAAAAATCATCAAATGGAGGGGACAATTCGAGAATTTACAGTAGCAGTGGGGGCTTATTAGAGGGGGGCTTATTAACAATTTTTAGTTCTAGGGAGGGGGGCTTATTCGAGGGGGAAGCTTTTTCGAGGGGGTGGGGCGATTCGAGGAAGTACGGTAGTGATTTTTGAACGGCTTGTTTTATGCATCACCAGAAGAACTAGAGATAATTCAAAACCTTTCTCAGTGGCTTTTCCCGTTTTCTTCAGTCTGTTATTACTCTTGATGAACGGCTCGTGGAAAACTTTGTTCAATCTTTCAGCCTGAAAACAAAGAAAAATTGCTTTTAATAAACGTACTAGGGCAGAAATTAGCCGTCACATAATATAATGATAATGACTCCAAATATATAATGTAGACTTCATATTACTTTAGTTACATTTAACAAGAAAACGTCATTAAATAAATTATTTTGGATTCTGAAATTCAGTCCATGTGCGAAATCAGTTTTATTTGTTCTAATCTGGCTGAGATGTGGTCATTGGCTTCAGTGGCGGAAATTCAGGCCTTCATTTGGGGGGGGGGGGGCAGGCCTACAATTTTCCGACAAGATAACATCTTGGATCATGTCTAATTTTAAAGAAACTGCATATTTGAGAAAAATAGGTGCTTTTTGACGGGACCCTTTAGAAATTTTTCCTGACCATAATTAAGTAGCAAAAAGAACAATCCATTTTGTGCTTTGTAACATCAAGATCGATATCTCATCTAAGACAATTTATGATACAAGAGGTCGACCGATTACACTTTTGATAAGTAGTACGTTCATTTTATGCATTTTATCTTGTTTTCGTCCGTAGGAAATACGTTTGAAAATAACTTTTATTCGGAAGAATCTAATGAAAATTTTGGCTAATCTTTACGGAATTAAAATTAAATATACAATTTACAAGCAGTTTTAATTTTGGTCATGTATTATTTGTTTGATTATTTAGTACTGGCTAATATTTTATCAGCTATGCTATGTTCAAATTTTGCAAAAGGCACAGAGAGGTTATAGAGAGAGGTTATGGGGTAAAAATGGAAATTCCAGATCACCTGCGAGCGAAGCGAGCAGAAAATTTGGCAATTACGCCCTTTAGATCAGCTTAAAATTCCTTTTCAGAACGATTTCTTGGAGTAATTTCGACACGTTAAACGGTTGTCAATTATCCGACAGAAGCCCGAATTTTCCGACGAAAAAAGCCCGAGCCCCCCTCACGGATTGGAAGGGGGGAATCAGTCTGCTTACAGTGCTCAATGACATAAAGGCAAAGATGTGCACAATTTTGTGTATAGAACAGATTCTGCACAACAAAGTAATGATAAAATATGCAGATGGGGAAATGATCATTGGCTTACCTTTTGTGGTCCAAAACCCGGGCATAGGGATATTTCTTCTTTAGATGCGTTAACAATACCCTGTAACGACTAGAATGAAAAGAAAGACCATTCTCAAACATAATAACTTCTACTTCTTAATATTGCTTCTCTTCTAACCATATTGTTTACATTTACACACTTAAAGAAGTTCTGCTTTAGTGTCTATGATAAAACACAAGCCTACAACAATCAGAGTAGCTGGGATATATACCGAAAGTTTTTAATTAAATCTACATAGAAAATTATTTTAATGAAAATGACTGTTAACCGGTCTGTCATTACAATTACTATTATAGGCAGAGTTGTACACTTGGTGTATAGAACAGGACGGTTCTAAGTTGCTACTCCGAGTTTCACGCTTAATAATCATTTACATTTTTTTATGAATTCGAACATAGCCTAACGATATTAGAATTGAAATAGAAAATATATTTTGATATATTCAGATATTTTCATATTTTTTCAGCTTTAAATCTTTCCACTCAAAAGGCTTAACACTTTGATAACCATGTTAGATTTCTCACATAGCTTTACAGGGGGTTCTTTTGCCCCCTCTAAACCCCCTCTGAACCCCCTCTATCTACGCCACTGACAAAACTGTCAAATTAGAAGTTTAACTGAGTAAAGTCCTTTCTGGCTTTTATTGAATTAAGTGCAACATACTGGTTATACTAAAGGGCTAACTTCATTGGGTGGGCCTAGCACTAAACTTGAGGCCAGGCAGGCCAAAACACAAGGGCAAATTGGCTTTGAATAAAACAGACATCCATGTGTTTTTGTTTCATAGCTTAAACTATTAAGCAAATTAAGCCTTGGCTTAAAATAGAGTATACATATGGAAAAGTTATAGATGTTTAGTAATTGTTTGATAATATATGTCATGAATTACCCCAAAGTTTGCCATCAGTGTCACTGCATCAGTTTTATTGACTGACTTCACTGAAGTTAAACAGTCAATCATCTACAAAGAAACAAAAAGATTTTAAAGCATTTTTCACAAGGTTACTAGAAACCTACCTTATATAAGTTTCGATGATAAAAACCTACCTAAATACAAACCTGCGTACACTGAATACCCTTCTGCGATTTCAAAGTAACATGGGAAACAATCGGACAGGGAGAAGAAATGGTGTTGTAAAAACATTTGAGCATCATGACTTTCTTCTAATGTTGCAAGTGTCACTAGCATCATGAAGTTTAGAATATATTGAAAAGCTGAAATTTAATAACTTTTAACCTGAAAACTATTGAGACGCTTTTGGCATTGTAGAATCTATACAAACTGCAATACCTTTGACTGATAATCACCATCCACCCGTTCTTGTAAAACATCTGCTGGTTTATTCTCAAACACTTTGTATGTCTCAAGGTATCTGCCAGCTTCTTCATTACTTGAAAATAAACCAAAAAAATCACTTGAAAGGAGAAAGATGTTTCAAGTAATAATTAGCAACCAACTAACAAAGAAGACAGAATTTATACTGATGTCATGGCCACTTAAAAGCAAAATAAAAATATTCTCTAAAATTTGTCCCACCTCCAAGATAAAATCAGGGTACAATTGGCAAGTATACAGATTTTTGAAAGTTCTTTCAGTGAAGAGTGTGGGTCTTTCTGAAAAGAAATAAGAATCTAATCAGCCAGGTAATTTATTCAAAAAATCGAAGAAATTAATTTGTGAAAAAAAATTCTCATTCATAAAGTCAACACATGTTTATCAATGAGATTAGTTAGTCAATTGTATAAATTATAAGCTAGACATTTTAAACAAAAATCAATTATTATCTATGACTAAAAGCATCCTTTAAAATTTGCAAGAAAAAACGTTAATGAAAAAATTAGCAAATTTAAAACAAATTGGTAAATAGAAACAGCATATAAATTTCAAAAAAAATAGTACAAAATTGATAAACACTATGCTAAGTATATATAAATTATATCTTACCACATTAACAAGAACAAGAAGAATTCTCAGTTCAAAAGAGTTCCCAAGATGTTTAAGTCTGTCATGAATGTATTCAGGATTGAAATTATGGTACCGTAGACTAAATGAGAGAAAACAAGAGTAAAACTTCCCAATAACTGTAAAAAATTGCTTGCCAGAATAGAAAGCAAGAAAGTATGTACATACATTGTTTTAACATCTTATCAAAAGCAAATTAAAAACACACTCCTTGGCTGTTTTTTAAGCTTGAGAAATTTGACGTCTTTGAATAAAGAGAGACTATTTGTAAGAAAGAAAGAACTCATTATGAGTTCTTTAGGAAGAAATTTTCTACCAATTCTGACAGAAATTCAACATGACATGGCTAATGATATAACCAGCAACTTTATATTAGCATTTATCGATTTTTAGCCAATTTTTAAGCAAAATAAAATGCTAAATATTTTATCTGACATAAACAGGGCTAATCTTATGCCTCCTGTGTATTTAGGCTTATCAATCTCTAGATCATTCAACCCTCCATTTATCTGTTATAAAGGAATAACAATTAAGTTTAGATAAATGGGAAGAGTCTAGCAGCCTGCTACAGTGACCTTTTTTTCATTCACAAACTACATGAAGCCTACCTCAGGAAAAGGGCACATGCTTTTTGCCCTAAAACATAATCTGGAACAATTTCACCAAACTCCCATGCAACATTCCGGATATGTTTTAAGACTGGGTTTCCACGCTACAATAATAATTAGAAATCAGTCAATACCAAAATTAGATAAGAAAATCTACAAATCAAAAAGAACAACTAAAGTGGTTCTTTTCTACACACGGTACGTGATTATGTAAACATAAACTTATTATATTCTAAAGAAACATGTGGAGATAATCAGGAAATATGAATATGATTTAATGAGAGATATGCATTTAACTATTTCTTTTGTTGTTCTGAATCATATTGGCAATCTCCTTTAATTATGTATGGTGCTTAAAAATGTATTTGTAGGGAAGTCTAGAAAAAGTTTCAAATGGTGTGATTTATGACACACCACTATGGATAAATGTTAAGGGTTTATCTTTTGTTTTATATCAGTTCTGACGTTGTTAAATTACGTTAAAATTTATGAAAAAATACTATGCTCAGACTATTGTCGTAAAATACAACAAAATTTCTCACCCCTCTAGTGCATTTTTCTATCTAGGTCACTGGCTGTGACCTGCAAAATTATTACTGTGGGACAACAGGCTGCCAGGAAATCCACCATAGCTGTGAGCACATGCAAGTGTTCAAGCTCTGTCCATTTATAAATACTGCAAGCACAATATCACTAAACCTACCTGACGGGCACTCACAATGATTGAATTACTGCTGGATTTGAAGGATGGTGTCTGTTTGGACCTATCCCTTGAAAAAGAATCTTTCTTTCAGAACTAAAGCATATTACTAAACAAACTAAAATATTGGGACCATCACTTAAGACAAAATTGGTCTTCTTAATCTCAGCCACTCAGTATACAATCTATCCAAACTTGCAACTGTTTATTTTTTCATCCTTTTACTAAATATACTTAGAGGAACTCGAACATGAAAGTGAAATTCAAAACAAACTTTTGAAAAGTAAAGAAACGAACTTTTCGACGGCCATTTCTTCCTTTTCAACAGCCACATCGTTTCGTTTATCAACAGCAGTTGGTTCAGTCACTTCTATCTTTCCATCATTATTTTTTCTTTTAGCAATCTCCGTGCTACTTAAATAACTATCTTTCTCCTTTATTTTTTGCGATAAGTCTGTAGTCTTGGTATTTGCCTCGGTAGGATTTGACTGGTGTGGTTCTATAATAGAAGAAACTTTAATTCCGCCTCTTGCTGCACTGATTTCTTGGCTGTCTTCAGAATTTGCCGGTCTTTTAAGTGAAGAAAACACAGAACCTTTTTTTAAACCTGCTGCAGGTTGATCCACCTCCTCTGCACTTGGAATTTGGAATTTATACCTTGGTACTTTCGCATCTTTTGCAGCCATAATTGAGTTCCCGCGAGAATGAATCAAACTGGAGCCTCGATCCCACATGCACATTGGCCTCGATTTCCCACTGGCGACAAATTTTAAAAAATGTCGAACCTTTTCATTTTGTGCCTGTTATATATGTACCAAATACTTGTCTGTGGAGACGAAAATTTAAAAAATGACACAAAATATTCGTGGGATGAAAATGGTTACGTGTTTTTCTGCCTCTGCATGGGTATGTTACCAGCTTTAACCGTGTATAAACAAAGCCAAAGTTTTGTGAGTTGTTTTCATCAAAAGTCAAATGAAACGTTTACAATTTCTTGTTTACAATTAAAATTCCCGAAACATTATATTTTTTTCCTGTATGGGCGAATTCTAATACAAATTGATTAGGAATTTTCCTTGATATCAAGTGAAGCGAAATATCTTAACAAATAACGAGAAACTTCACTGTTTATTTGAGACATCTACCTAATTAGAAGTCTTTTTTTCATACCTTTCTATGTTCATCATAATCTTTATTTTTATTGTATATTTACTATTGCGCTTTAAATAGAAGCCAGGAATTTAAGGGGCATGTGCATCCACCACCCCCTCTCTTCCCACTTTATTCCAGGCACGAAGTTTTTCCACCCGCTAAGAACCCTTTTGATCTTAACAAGTTGCCTTTCCTTGGGTAAAATTGCATCATACAAAATCCCTTTTTTCTTGCCCTCACAACTGTATGCAGAGACATATTGACTACCCTCTGCCCCTCCACTTTTCAAAAAGTTCTAACACTCCTGACTATTTCAATTTTTTTATAAATAAGTATCTTGTTAGTTTATTTAAAGAAGTATTTTTCTGATGTATTTCTTTTTAGGAAGATTTGGGAACCAAGCAGAGCATTTTCTCGGTGGCGCAGCTTTTGCTAAGGCTTTGAACAGAACCCTTATTGTGCCTCCATGGATGACTTATGTATAGTATCTGTTACATATTAGAGTTAACATGATTATATCTTTTCATAATTATCTAATTGCTACAAATGCAGCAAATCTTTATTCTCATCTGTAGATAAAGGATCCCCTCCAGAAACGTCTCCAGTTTTTAGAAATGTTTCTTTTATATGGAAAAGTACCCCTTTAATGGAAAAGCACACCAGAAAGATCCTTTTTTGTCTGGAAAGATTCCCATCTTTTTGTAAAGCATATTTCAACTGAAAGATCCCTTTATCGGAGGCATCATGGATAGGGACCCTCAGGGGGGGGGGGGGCACAGCTTGCAACTTTCCAACAACTGGTTTCCAGTAAAATACAATGACATCATTGACTGCCTGCAGGCGGTGTAATTAAGAGCTGATGTCTCTATGCCTTAGGAGGATATCTGTTGTCCCAGGTCCACATAAGCCATCTAGAGGCTGCCATTTTTTAACCTGCTTTTCAAAATAAATGATGATGTATGTATGTATTTAAATGTCTCATCATAAGCAATTATGCCTCCACAACGGCTTGCCATGTAACATGTCAAGTCATTTCCTGTTTTAAGGTGTCATGATATCACCTGGAAAATCATTAACAGGTCATGATATGAGGAGGCGGTCATCTATTTTACAAATCAAAATACAGCAGATGGAAAATCACAAAATACTCTATTTTTCCAAAAGCCAACAAACATCACATATCTGATCAAATTTCTGAAGAGTCAATGCTAATAGGCATGTCCCCTCTGCTCCTGGCCACAATGCCTCTGCTCATTTAAACAAAAATGATCAAGACTTTATGAAAGAAAATGATGCACTACCCTTCACTTACTCTTTATATGGTTGCGGCATTCAAAAACTGGGCTATCCAAGTGCCTTTTTCTGTTCCCTTCAACCCCTACTTTTGTCCTGCTTCTGACATAACTGTCCTTGTTAGATTACTCCCTTGTTGTGTTTGTTTGTATCATTCTATTATCTCAGTATTATCAGTTCATCATTAGACTTTATAATGAAATTTTTAAATGCTTTCCCTTTTCAGAAAAGTGTGACCTTTACAGATTGGTTTCAGTTGGAGCCCTTGCAAGAATACCATAAAGTAATTCTTGCTGAAGATTTTATGAAATATCTAGCACCAAGATATTGGCCTAAGGGAAAGAGAATTGGCTATTGTTGGTTACCTTATGGAAGTAAACAAAGATGTGTTATGAAGGAAGGATTTCCATTTAAAGCTTTCTGGGATAATCTTGGTGTAGATTTTGATGATTACCTTATATACCACACTGCTTACAACATGGAAGACCCATATGTACTTTCAGAATGGATGAGCCAGTAAGATATTGAAATCTAGAGTTTATTTGGCTTTCGTGTTTCTTGCTCTTCTAATCTAGAACAAAAGTTTACACCTTAAGGTATACTTACATGAAGATTGGCATGATATTTTACTATAACTTTTTAGTACACCCTTGCTAGGGAGGGTACACAACAGGTTTTGAGGGATGGGAGGATTAGCCCTTTTTCCATCTGGGATATAGTATGTTTGATTCCTGGCTAAACTGGTGTGAGAATAGCCAGGGGGGATATTGGATTGGATGTGATCAAAAATAAAGTAATGCAATCTGGGACGTGCCCAAAAATAATTTGTCTATGACAGTATGAATGTTGCTCAATGCACACCAATCTATGACTTCTTAACATCCATGATATCTGTTTTCATGATGTGCCATTTTTTAGGCAATTAATTTTTTAGACATTATTTTGCCTTATAATGGAATCTTAGGTTAATGCGGAGGATCCCCCCAGTCCAATCCCTGTATGCAATCCTTGTCAGCCAGCCCTGCACTTTTTATTTCAATCTTAAGCAAATCCTAGAGGCCTACTCTGCTGCCATCTTCCATTATACATTATGTAGTTGCAATACCGTTGCAAGATTTTTCTATTTGTTTCAGTAGTCACTTGACACCTAGAGATACAGAGCCATTTTTATAGGTTAAACTGCATGAAAACTCTTCTGAGAAATATTTTGCTTGTCTGTTTAAAATGTGTCTGTTTAAAAGACAAGTGTAAGTACAATAATTTGTTTTGAGAAAATGTGTCTGTTTAAAAGACAAGTGTAAGTACAATAATTTGTTTTAAAAATCTTTCATTTTTTTAGATTTCCATCGGAAAAACACCCAGTTCTAGCATTTCGAGGTGCACCAGCCACTTTCCCTATTCGACCTGAGCATAAGTCCTTACAGAGTCTTTTGAAATGGTCTAGCAAAATTGAAAGCATTGCTCAAAATTATGTTGAAGAGAACCTCAGACCTGGAAAGTTTGTTGGTATCCACTTGCGGAATGAAGGATCCTGGGTGAGCTGTGAATTTATAGCATATAGCATTTATAGAAAAGCCCGTATCGTGGCCCTCCTCATTCCTTATAACCCTCTCCTCACTCCCTCTGCCTGAATCTTTTCCAAAAACACTGTACCTAGGATTAAACTTTTCTGAGATTTTTTTATATCCACTTAAAGATTACAAGCTGCACTACTTTACAAAATTACTATACAACTATACTATACCTCTAAACAATACCCGGGGAAGAAGAAGGCAATGACTACCCTTAGGTCGTTTGGTCACAGAGATTAAAATCAAGTCTTAGAGATTAAATAAACGACCTAAAAGAAAAACAAAATGGATCCAAAGAAAAGAAAAGAAATGTTAAAATTTTCTAATTAAATTGACCAGATTTTTGGATAAATTCTAGAGTTGGCAGGAGTATTTTTTACTTTGTAATAAAGCAAAAATTGAGACTTGTCTGAGATTTTCTGCAAGAGGCACACAGGAATCAAGTAACAAGGCAAGGTTTAAATTTGAAAGCAATCTGACTGTTGTAGCTTAACATTTTTATATATGGAAGTATTCCATAAAACCAAAGAGGGACTTTTAACCTTTGTTTCACACACTTATTTCACAGAGCAACAGCTGCTAAGATCACACATAACTTAAGTGATCAAGCCAACAGCCGATGAAACATTACTGAGGACATAAATTTACCCTAACTGAATTTCTTTTATGAACAAATATTAGCACAGTGTTGTTGAAGGCAAAAACATTTGGAGGCATAATTATTGATTAAATAAAAAATTCGCTAATCAAGTTTTATGCATGTTGTTGGTATCACTGAGATCTGCCTACAACTACATCTACCAGTTACTCTCTGCCTTCTTTAGTGAAGATTCTGACTATTTTAATTCTGTTTAATGTGAAGATTCTATAGAGGTAGGCTGTATTAGAGGATGAAGGTACAAACTGGACATGGGACTTTTGGAATCAATTGCAGAAAACTGCATAGCCTAAAGCTTCACATTGTTCTTTTACCTAATCAGTTATAGAAGGGTGATCAATTCTACCAGATCAAATCAGTGATCAGTATTTACATGTTATTTTGGTAAAAGTTTTTCCTAATTATTACACAGATTCAAGGTTGTGATTATGCTGATGGCTCAGCAGCATTTATGGCGTCTCCTCAGTGTTTAGGTTATTCACGATATCAGAAGGTCACGCGTGATTTGTGCGCTCCACCGCGAGACAAAGTCGTGAGTACTGCAAAGGAAATCGTGGAGAGAATCCAAGCTAAGTTTCTCTTCATTGCAACTGACAATGATCCAATGTTAGACGAATTCAGACAGGTCTTTGAATCTTTAAATGTAAGTATTTCTATTTTGAATTTTTTAGGTGCCTTTTTAGCCAAAATACATAAGATTGAGAATCTGATTGAAAATTTGATTGAAAATCTCTCCCGTAAACACGCATGTCTGGCGCTATGAAATCATCAATGTAAAAAATTTAGCTGCCTGATGATCATATTAAGCGTAAAAGTCAGATTTGCAACTTAGAGCTGTTCTTCTCTATACACCAAAAGGTGTTAGGCCCTGCCTTCACAGTATTTTTTTTCTTTAAAACGGAATCGGTTTTTTTCATAGGAGGTATGAAGAGGCTGCAGGGCAGTAAGGCAAAGTACCAAGGCATAACAATAACAAAATTAAGAGTTCTGTTATTTTTGCAAGAGCAAGGGGGGAAAAGCCCCCGTGCCCCCTTGCTTCAGTGTCCCTAGATTTGTTGTAAACAACAAGCTCTAAAGGTTAAGCACGATATTTTTTGGTCAAAACATATTTAGACTGTATTTACCGGCTTTATTAAGGTCCCTGCAAGCGTTTATTAAATGATTCTTCGATTTTAAAATGGATTTTTTTTGCTTTGAGATTGAAAATACAAACACCTATATGTCTTTGTAATCAACTCTGATGTCTAGCTAAAGATAAAATTATGGTTAAAAACGGTTCTTTTCTAGGTAACAGTTCGACATTTGAACCCAGAAAGGCCACAAGTTGATTTAGCAATTCTTGGAAAAGCTGATCATTTCATTGGAAACTGCGTTTCTTCGTTTACAGCCTTTGTTAAGCGAGAACGAGACTTGAATGGGAAACTTAGCTCCTTTTGGGCCTTTGAAAAACGGTGACTTATCGATTCACGTGACTAGCTTTGATATGTGGGGCTGGAGGTTGAAATGGATTTTTGAGATGCTGCGAAGAAATAGTCCAGGTTTATTTCGATTCAACTCAAATAAGCCTTCTAAACACGATCATGGAAAGAGCATCATTTCAAAATATTGTTTAATATTACTGGTTTTTGTAAATTTATCACAAAAACTTTTTCCTGTTTGCAGCAAGTAAACTGTATGAATATTTAATAGACAGAAGGCATTTTCCAACTTTTATCTGTCAATATGATTTACTTACATTGTTCAGAAATTAGTTTCAAACATCATCTGCAACTACAAATGTGCCATTAATTATCTCTTCTGAATTAAACTGTTCCAATTTTTCAATTCTAACTTCTTCATTTTCCTGGTTTATATTATAATGGATTCCGTTAGTCAAAGATCGCTAATAGAAGCCCCAGAACCACTGGTATAGCATGATGGGAGCATTCGTGCCCACAGAGAGGAGGAGCAAGGGGGCAAGTGCCCCTGGGGCAAAATCTGACTTTTAATAACAGGATAACTTTAAGAAAAACTAATCGTATCTGTTCCCGGAAAGTTTAACAATACCTTATGAATATAAATAGCAACTAGATAACGAAAATTATATGTATCTAAATCCATATTAGATAGATTTTAGGTGTATTGTTTTGGTGAGGCAGGGGCTCGAGCACTGGGCCTGCCCCTGGGCCCGGTGTGGCCCGGTGTGGCCCTTTGTGGCCCTGCTGATAAAAATGAAGATCGTAATTTGCTAAATGCAACTTCAGTGGCATAAGCTTCAGTGCCAATAAAATTACGTTTAAAATTTATCGTTCTATACGGGTGCAAAAAATCTCGAGTTTTTCTCAAAGTATATTTTCGTCGCGAGGAAAAAACGAGGGTGTCGTTTTCTCCACAGCAAACCCCTCCATCCGCCATTACCATCAGATGACGCCATAGAAATAGAGCTCTCTGATTGGCTAGTCAACAAAATGTAAACAAACCAAAGAACCTATTGTTACAAAATCTGCCCTTGCTCTTGCGAATATGACTATAGCACTCCACTCAAAGAAGGCATCTATGACACCAAACGGCGAACGCAATGTTGAATGGACACTAGTAAACACGAAATACTTTCATAACTAAACGAAGTATTTTCAATGCAGCTAGTTACTCATTTCGAAAGTTGATTATGATTTTCTAGCATACCTTTGAAATAGTCGTCAATATAACAATGGCCGTGCGAATGCTAAACATTTAGGGAGGGTTGGTCTGGATCATGCCTGACTACTCTCGTTCATTGAGAAAGAATTGCCGAAAGGAGCCTGCAATGCTTTAAACTTGCCCTGATTAGCGAAGCTGCTGCAATACTCCCAGCTCCTGTATATTTTATTTCACCAAGGAGCTTCGCTACTCTTAAATAAAAGCGATCCTACAACTCTGCGACATTTTGTGTTTCCATGTATAAAAATCAATGAGTTAAGAAAACTGACACTAGCCGCAATTACACTACTCCATATGTAAATTGTATCCAGCAGAACTCCGGGTGCAGAATTTCTGTTGAATTTACGATACGTCCAGAAAACTGAAGAAACGTCATAGGGGATGTAGCAGATAAGAAACAAACCCAAGACCAAACAGATTGTTTTCACTGCAGCTAGACGCTCTGTTCGAAAATTGGACGTATCTTTTCGATTGCCAGGTTGAAAACGGAAGACTGCATTTTCTTGGTGTCTCTCAAGAGTTTTTAATGTTTTTGTATTCAATATGAGAAAAACTGTCTTAAGCGAAAAGTTAAAAATCACAATGGTTAACTGACGGTAGAAGGACTCCCATATCACGGTAATCGTAGCTGCAACAAGTCCACTAATAAGACAAGATACAACCAATAGGGTCATCCGATTAGTGTTCATCATTGTCTGATATCGAATCGGTTTTGCGACGTGAAGGTACCGATCTAGAGAAATTGTGATTATCATAAAGAATGAAATATATCCCAAAAAAATCACTGTAAATTCAACAGATTTGAGCTCAAGGCAGTTTCTTTGTCTACTTGATATCCAGAATGCTCCCAGTATAGGCTTTGCAAACATTCCCAAGCACAAATCTGACACTGTCATTATGAGAATAAATTTATTTGAAAATGTCCGTAGCTGCTTCGATTTGTACAATGCGAAAATCAAAAGGGAGTTTGACAGGATATTGAAAAAGGCAAATATAATCATAATGGCTCCAGCAATTGTAGTGTACGGGTTCCCTGGATTGTTTGGAACCAGCGACAGACAACGACTTACTACTCCATATTCTCGTAGCATCTTTGTCTACGATATTTTCCGTCTTTTCAATAAGAATATACTTTTTTGTCTTGATGCTTTTCTTGGCCTTTTAGTTGCAACCCTCTGAAATTACGATGCGAAAAAAGGAAATGCTGCGAACCAATTTCCATTTCAATTAGGTTTCCTTTACATTTCCATTTCAATTTAAATCAAATACAGCTTCAATTGACTTGCTTAAAGTCTTAATTGTTTATAAACATTGAAATCTGAAGGTTACTAAAAAGCATGCAGAATGGAATAAAAATCAGTTTATTAATTTTGCAAAGTGTTAGAAAGCCTCCGCGTTTTTTTCTTCTATTGACTTAAAATTAAAGAAATCAAGCACGGAATGATCAATCGCTTAAGTCAGCTGTCATTTCTTCGCATCGGATATGGACTACTTAATTCGTAAATTGAAATATTGGCATACCGGAAAACAAGGACCAAGGACATTTAGGCAGGACCCTGGACTCCGGACGCTGGACCTAGGACCCAGGACCAAGGACCCAAGACCCACGACCCACGACCCACGACCTAGGACTGTATATGTTTTCGATGATGCACTCCTTTCTTTTTAAGAACACGAAGCCATAACATTACATGCCATGAACAATTATACATAAAAGCCAAAACTTTAAAACATCGAACAGAAGACTGCACATCATAGTAAAGGAGAAATACTTCCCGTGAATATAGAAATGAATCTGATTTTTATTTCTGGCCCTGTGTGAAAGCGAAAACTCGGGTAGCTCGGGCAAAATGCTAATGAACGATTTAACTAGAAAGCAACGCCTTGCAATGTAAAATACTTTTATTGACCGTGAAAATTTGAAGTGGTTGTTTTAGCAAAGTGGGGAAGTACAGTAATTACTATTCCGTCATAGTAAATACAGCAATCCTAATATCTTTAGTACGCGCACTTCATTGACAAGCCATCAAAGCCTAAGTAATCTTTATATGTTAACAAAAAGAAAAACATTAGAACGTTTATATGCTCTAGAAGCAGGAATGGATGCACTTTCTTTGGTATGTTTACAAAGACCGCGGAAGATATTTTAGTTTTAGGGGGCTAAACCGTTTTGGGAAGTTAAAAATGCTGAAAACTTAGAGCAGGGCTACTTTTGTATGGTTTTAAGTACATTTTGGAAATTTCAGAGGGGAGCCATATGTTGTGTTGTTTATTGCTTTATGTATTTATTTAGTTTTGTTGCTGTTGTTATTATTGTTTCGCGCCTTTTTTGTAGATTTGTTAGGCGTGGGTTGAGTAACTAGAAAAGAAGTTTTAAGAGTTCGATTTTGGTAGCTGGATTTTAGCTGAAGCTGAGTTGTCGTGGATTGAGAATTTCAAATATTGTAGAACTCGATGGATTTTTGTTATGGCCGCTATTTCACTTACTCGATGATTTGTAAATACTGTAAATATCGCTATTACCTCGCCGTTTTATTTCTTGTCGTCTGTTCACGTTTGTCATTTCATTTCACGGACAAAGATCAATTACCATTACACTAGGACAGGATTGACATAACACGTAACCCTTAGCCTTCTGTGGTGCCGGTATCTTAATCATTTTAGACTGAAACATTTTGCAGTCTTCTGTTCGATGTTAAGAACTTTTGGATTTTATGTACAATTGTTCATGGTATGTAATTTTATTTCTTGGTGTTCATTTGAAGAAAGAAGTGCATCTTCGAAAACATATAGCGTCCTGGGTCCTGGGTCCTGGGTCCTGGGTCCTGGGTCCTGGGTCCTGGGTCCTGGGTACTGAATCCTGGATCCTTGGTCCTGTATCCTGGGTCCTTCCTTAAGGTACTGGGTCCTTGTTTTCAGGTATGCCTGAAAACAGTGCAGTTTACAAATATCTACTAAAGGAACTACCAATCAAATCTGCAGTCTAAAGGACGTTTGTTTATATAGTTACAATGAAGAACGCCTTTCAGTTTCAAACTTCAACATTTTTTCGAAGCAAACAGAACTGTATAGAATATTACTGATAGCAAACCGTTCCACTTACCGGCTTGTCTGAACGGCACTTACGGTGTTACATTCAGTGACCAAAAATGAAAATCTTTTTCATTGCAAATCATAACTTGTAATCAAGCTCTTGAAAAAGTATTAAATTATGCGCGCATCTCATCTTCATTTTCAGCATCATAAAAAGTGCATGTTTGCCGATTGTTAAAAACCAAATATTGAGACGTAAAAAGAATTCAAAATATATTTATCTTCATCAAAATCGTACACACGAAAAAACAAACTTACAACACGTGCTAACCGGAATAGAGGCTAGATATGATTTATGCACATATTTTAATACTATTGTCTACAGGGGACAACACGATGTATGTTTTACCGACTACAATAACGACTTCCCTTTAGAGAAAAATGATAAACGAAAACCGCAAAGAAATAAAACAAAAAAGAGATTACAAATTTATGAAAAGTTCGTTATTTTGAGGGTTACTAAAATGAAGGGACCTAAAATTTTGTTCAAAATAACGAGAGTCCTTTATATCCGGAGTGCGTTATACCGTGAGAATTTTTAAGGAGTTTGTTAAACAGAGTATAGTGGACCAGACATTCTGTTCCTTATACCGGGAAGTTCGATATATCCGGAGCTCGCTATATTTGTATAGTGGAAGGTTGATGATCTAACAGATCTTTGAAATAGTCATCAACATATAAATGAAGAAGTGATATCCAATGTCGTTCATTACTTTACTAACAAACAGCACTGTTTCTAGAAAAAACGGATTGTCAATCTTGTGAATGGATGACAGTATTCTGTTACATTTTGATTTTCATAAAAATTGATCAAAGAATTCAAAACCTGCTTGCGAACATTACTACAGCATTCCACTCAAAGAAGGCATCTATGACACCAGACGGTGAATGCATTGTTGAATGGACAATAGTAAACACCAAATACTTCCATAACTAAACGAAGTGTTTTCAGTGCAGCTAGTTACTCATTTCGAAAGTTGGTTTTGATTCTCTAGCATACCTTTGAAATAGTCGTCAATATAATAATGAGCCTAGCGGATGCTAGACATTCAGGGAGGGTTTGTCTAGTCTGGATTTTGCCTGACTTCTCTCGTTTATTGAGATAGAACCGCCGAAAGGAGCCTGAAATGTGATAAGCTTGCCCTGATTAGCGAAGCTGCAATCCTCCCAGCTCCAGTGTCCATGTCTATGAATTTAGATATTGTATTTTACTCAGGAGCTTCGCTACTCTTATATAAAAGCGATCTTACAACTTTGCGACATTTTGTATTTCCACGTAAAAAAATCAATGAGTTAAGAAAACTGACACTATTCGTAATTACAAAACTCCATTTGTAAATTGTGTCCAGCAGAACTCCGGGTGCAGAATTTCTTTTGAAATCATGATACACCCAGAAAACTGAACAAATGTTGTAGGGGGTGTAACAGACAAGAAATAATCCCAAAACCAAACGAATTGTTTTCACTGCAGCTAGACGTTCTGTTCGAAAATTGAGCACTTCCTTTCGATTACCAGGTTGAAATCGAAAGACATTTTTGTGGTGTCTCTCAAGAGTTTTTAATGTTTTTGTATTCAGAATGAGAAAAACAGTCATAAGCATAAAGTTTAAAATCACGATGGTGAACTGCCGGTAGAAGGACTCCCATACTACGCTAATTGTGGCAGCAACAAGTCCACTAATAAAACAAGATACAACCAATAGGGTCATCCGATTATTGTTCATCATTGTCTGATATTGAATCGGTTTTGCGACGTGAAGGTACCGATCTATTGAAATTGTGATTATCATAAAGAATGAAATGTATCCCAAAAAAGTCACCGTAAATTCAACAGATTTAAGCTCAAGGCAGTTTCTTTGTCTACTTGATATCCAGAATGCTCCCAGTACAGGCTGTGCAAAGATTCCCAAGCACAAATCTGACACTGTCATTATGAGAATAAATTTATTTGAGAATGTCCGTAGCTGCTTCGATTTGTACAATGCGAAAATCAAAAGGGAGTTTGACAGGATATTGTAAAAGGCAAATATAATCATAATGGCTCCAGCAATTGTTGTATTCGGGTTCTCTGGATTGTTTGGAACCAGCGAGAGACAACGGCTTACCACTCCATTTCCTCGTACCATCTTTATCTTTGAAATTCCTCCTCTTTCCAATAAGAATATACTTTTTTGTCTTGATGCTTTTCTTGTCCTTTTAGTTGCAACCCTCTGAAATTACGATGCGAAAAATGAAAATGCTGCGAACCAATTTCCATTTCAATTAGGTTTCCTTTACATTTCCATTTCAATTTAAATCAAATACAGCTTCAATTGACTTGCTTAAAGTCTTAATTCTTTATAAACATTGAAATCTGAAGGTTACTAAAAAGCATGCAGAATGGAATAAAAATCAGTTTAATAATTTTGCAAAGTGTTAGAAAGCCTCCGCGTTTTTTTCTTCTATTGACTTAAAATTAGAGAAATCAAGCACGGAATGATCAATCGCTTAAGTCAGCTGTCATTTCTTCGCATCGGATATGGGCTACTTAATTCGTAAATTGAAATATTGGCATACCGGAAAACAAGGACCAAGGACATTTAGGCAGGACCCTGGACTCCGGACGCTGGACCTAGGACCCAAGACCAAGGACCCAAGACCTACGACCCACGACCCACGACCTAGGACTCTATATGTTTTCGATGATGCACTCCTTTCTTTTCAAGAACACGAAGTCATAACATTACATGCCATGAACAATTATACATAAAAGCCAAAACTTTAAAACATCGAACAGAAGACTGCACATCATAGTAAAGGAGAAATACTTCCCGTGAATATAGAAATGAATCTGATTTTTATTTCTGGCCCTGTGTGAAAACGAAAACTCGGGTAGCTCGGGCAAAATGCTAATGAACGATTTAACTAGAAAGCAACGCCTTGCAATGTAAAATACTTTTATTGACCGTGAAAATTTGAAGTGGTTGTTTTAGCAAAGTGGGGAAGTACAGTAATTACTATTCCGTCATAGTAAATACAGCAATCCTAATATCTTTAGTACGCGCACTTCATTGACAAGCCATCAAAGCCTAAGTAATCTTTATATGTTAACAAAAAGAAAAACATTAGAACGTTTATATGCTCTAGAAGCAGGAATGGATGCACTTTCTTTGGTATGTTTACAAAGACCGCGGAAGATATTTTAGTTTTAGGGGGCTAAACCGTTTTGGGAAGTTAAAAATGCTGAAAACTTAGAGCAGGGCTACTTTTGTATGGTTTTAAGTACATTTTGGAAATTTCAGAGGGGAGCCATATGTTGTGTTGTTTATTGCTTTATGTATTTATTTAGTTTTGTTGCTGTTGTTATTATTGTTTCGCGCCTTTTTTGTAGATTTGTTAGGCGTGGGTTGAGAAACTAGAAAAGAAGTTTTAAGAGTTCGATTTTGGTAGCTGGATTTTAGCTGAAGCTGAGTTGTCGTGGATTGAGAATTTCAAATATTGTAGAACTCGATGGATTTTTGTTATGGCCGCTATTTCACTTACTCGATGATTTGTAAATACTCTAAATATCGCTATTACCTCGCCGTTTTATTTCTTGTCGTCTGTTCACGTTTGTCATTTCATTTCACGGACAAAGATCAATTACCATTACACTAGGACAGGATTGACATAACACGTAACCCTTAGCCTTCTGTGGTGCCGGTATCTTAATCATTTTAGACTGAAACATTTTGCAGTCTTCTGTTCGATGTTAAGAACTTTTGGATTTTATGTACAATTGTTCATGGTATGTAATTTTATTTCTTGGTGTTCATTTGAAGAAAGAAGTGCATCTTCGAAAACATATAGCGTCCTGGGTCCTGGGTCCTGGGTCCTGGGTCCTGGGTCCTGGGTCCTGGGTCCTGGGTCCTGAATCCTGGATCCTTGGTCCTGTATCCTGGGTCCTTCCTTAAGGTACTGGGTCCTTGTTTTCAGGTATGCCTGAAAACAGTGCAGTTTACAAATATCTACTAAAGGAACTACCAATCAAATCTGCAGTCTAAAGGACGTTTGTTTATATAGTTACAATGAAGAACCCCTTTCAGTTTCAAACTTCAACATTTTTTCGAAGCAAACAGAACTGTATAGAATATTACTGATAGCAAACCGTTCCACTTACCGGCTTGTCTGAACGGCACTTTCGGTGTTACATTCAGTGACCAAAAATGAAAATCTTTTTCATTGCAAATCATAACTTGTAATCAAGCTCTTGAAAAAGTATTAAATTATGCGCGCATCTCATCTTCATTTTCAGCATCATAAAAAGTGCATGTTTGCCGATTGTTAAAAACCAAATATTGAGACGTAAAAAGAATTCAAAATATATTTATCTTCATCAAAATCGTACACACGAAAAAACAAACTTACAACACGTGCTAACCGGAATAGAGGCTAGATATGATTTATGCACATATTTTAATACTATTGTCTACAGGGGACAACACGATGTATGTTTTACCGACTACAATAACGACTTCCCTTTAGAGAAAAATGATAAACGAAAACCGCAAAGAAATAAAACAAAAAAGAGATTACAAATTTATGAAAAGTTCGTTATTTTGAGGGTTACTAAAATGAAGGGACCTAAAATTTTGTTCAAAATAACGAGAGTCCTTTATATCCGGAGTGCGTTATACCGCGAGAATTTTTAAGGAATTTGTTAAACAGAGTATAGTGAACCAGACATTCTGTTCCTTATACCGGGAAGCTCGATATATCCGGAGCTCGCTATATTTGTATAGTGGAAGGTTGATGATCTAACAGATCTTTGAAATAGTCATCAACATATAAATGAAGAAGTGATATCCAATGTCGTTCATTACTTTACTAACAAACAGCACTGTTTCTAGAAAAAACGGATTGTCAATCTTGTGAATGGATGACAGTATTCTGTTACATTTTGATTTTCATAAAAATTGATCAAAGAATTCAAAACCTGCTTGCGAACATTACTACAGCATTCCACTCAAAGAAGGCATCTATGACACCAGACGGTGAATGCATTGTTGAATGGACAATAGTAAACACGATGTAGTTCCGTTACTAAACAAAGTCTTTTCAATGCAGCTAGTTGCTCATTAAGAACGTTGATATGATTCTCTAGCATACCTTTGAAATAGTCGTCAATATAATAATGAGCCTAGCGGATGCTAGACATTCAGGGAGGGTTTGTCTAGTCTGGATTTTGCCTGACTTCTCTCGTTTATTGAGATAGAACCGCCGAAAGGAGCCTGAAATGTGATAAGCTTGCCCTGATTAGCGAAGCTGCAATACTCCCAGCTCCAGTGTCCATGCCTATGAATTTAGATATTGTATTTCACTCAGGAGCTTCGCTACTCTTATATAAAAGCGATTTTACAACTTTGCGACATTTTGTATTTCCACGTAAAAAAATCAATGAGTTAAGAAAACTGACACTATTCGTAATTACAAAACTCCATTTGTAAATTGTATCCAGCAGAACTCCGTCTGCAGAATCTCTTTTGAATTCATGATACGCCCAGAAAACTGAACAAATGTTGTAGGGGGTGTAACAGACAAGAAATAATCCCAAAACCAAACGAATTGTTTTCACTGGAGCTAGACGTTCTGTTCGAAAATTGAGCACTTCCTTTCGATTACCAGGTTGAAATCGAAAGACTGCATTTTTGTGGTGTCTCTCAAGAGTTTTTAATGTTTTTGTATTCAGAATGAGAAAAACAGTCATAAGCATAAAGTTTAAAATCACGATGGTGAACTGCCGGTAGAAGGACTCCCATACTACGCTAATTGTGGCAGCAACAAGTCCACTAATAAAACAAGATACAACCAATAGTTTCATCCGATTATTGTTCATCATTGTCTGATATTGAATCGGTTTTGCGACGTGAAGGTACCGATCTATTGAAATTGTGATTATCATAAAGAATGAAATGTATCCCAAAAAAGTCACCGTAAATTCAACAGATTTAAGCTCAAGGCAGTTTCTTTGTCTACTTGATATCCAGAATGCTCCCAGTACAGGCTGTGCAAAGATTCCCAAGCACAAATCTGACACTGTCATTATGAGAATAAATTTATTTGAGAATGTCCGTAGCTGCTTCGATTTGTACAATGCGAAAATCAAAAGGGAGTTTGACAGGATATTGAAAAAGGCAAATATAATCATAATGGCTCCAGCAATCGTTGTGTACGGGTTCCCTGGATTGTTTGGAACCAGCGACAGACAACGACTTACCACTCCATATTCTCGTAGCATCTTTGTCTACGATATTTTCCGTCTTTTCAATAAGAATATACTTTTTTGTCTTGATGCTTTTCTTGTCCTTTTAGTTGCAACCCTCTGAAATTACGATGCGAAAAATGAAAATGCTGCGAACCAATTTCCATTTCAATTAGGTTTCCTTTACATTTCCATTTCAATTTAAATCAAATACAGCTTCAATTGACTTGCTTAAAGTCTTAATTCTTTATAAACATTGAAATCTGAAGGTTACTAAAAAGCATGCAGAATGGAATAAAAATCAGTTTATTAATTTTGCAAAGTGTTAGAAAGCCTCCGCGTTTTTTTCTTCTATTGACTTAAAATTAGAGAAATCAAGCACGGAATGATCAATCGCTTAAGTCAGCTGTCATTTCTTCGCATCGGATATGGGCTACTTAATTCGTAAATTGAAATATTGGCATACCGGAAAACAAGGACCAAGGACATTTAGGCAGGTTCCTGGACTCCGGACGCTGGACCTAGGACCCAGGACCAAGGACCCAAGACCCACGACCCACGACGCACGACCTAGGACTGTATATGTTTTCGATGATGCACTCCTTTCTTTTTAAGAACACGAAGCCATAACATTACATGCCATGAACAATTATACATAAAAGCCAAAACTTTAAAACATCGAACAGAAGACTGCACATCATAGTAAAGGAGAAATACTTCCAAACAATCTTTTGGTGGTACAAAACTTGTAAATAGCTTTGAAAAAAGCAAACATTTAGTAAACTAAAGCTTTTCGTCTGACACTCTTCAGAGTTTAAAACGTCAGAACATAGATCGAAAACTCTAGGCTAAGAAATATATATACCCAGTTGTGGATCGAAATAGGCCAATCAGAAACATGAGCACATGACTGTAAAGGTTGACCAATCAGTGCCGCTTGCCTATTAGAATGTTACCAATGGAGTCCTAAGGTGAAAACGAACTCCTTTTGTCTACACAGTAGCGGTTTTTTCGTGCTTATGTAGATAGATTCTAAAACTGCTAGGTGGAACGACGATCGGGCTTTACCAATAATCCGAAACATGTCGCCATTATAGTTTTTTGCACAAACTGGGTTTTCTAGCAAATGCTGCCCGATAGCAGAATCGCAGGTCTTATTAGTAATTTTGGATTTGCAAGACCGAGGTGGCTGTTCTTTTTGGGGATGTGTTTTGTTTCTAATATTAGATGGAACGTGTTGTTTTATCCTATCCTCCAATCTTTGGGTGGTGCGTTTCAGTTTCAAACTTCAACATTTTTTCGAAGCAAACAGAACTGTATAGAATATTACTGATAGCAAACCGTTCCACTTACCGGCTTGTCTGAACGGCACTTTCGGTGTTACATTCAGTGACCAAAAATGAAAATCTTTTTCATTGCAAATCATAACTTGCCTTTCTGAGTGTTGGTTTTTTCACTTGAATGTAATCAAGCTCTTGAAAAAGTATTAACTTATGCGCGCATCTCATCTCCATTTTCAGCATCATAAAAAGTGCATGTTTGCCGATTGTTAAAAACCAAATATTGAGACGTAAAAAGAATTCAAAATATATTTATCTTCATCAAAATCGTACACACAAAAAAAAAAACTTACAACACGTGCTAACCGGAATAGAGGCTAGATATGATTTATGCACATATTTTAATACTATTGTCCACAGGGGACAACACGATGTATGTTTTACCGACTACAATAACGACTTCCCTTTAGAGAAAATGATAAACGAAAACCGCAAAGAAATAAAACAAAAAAGAGATTACAAATTTATGAAAAGTTCGTTATTTTGAGGGTTACTAAAATGAAGGGACCTAAAATTTTGTTCGCAATAACGAGAGTTCTTTATTTCCGGGGTGCGTTATTCCGCGAGAAATTTTAAGGAGTTTGTTAAGCAGAATCCAGGGTACCAGAAATTCAGTTCGTTATACCGGGAAGTATCCGATATATCCGGGGCTCGCTATATTTGTATAGTGGAAGGTTGATGATCTAACAGATCTTTGAAATAGTCATCAACATATAAATGAAGAAGTGGTATCCAATGTCGTTCATTACTTTACTAACAAACAGCACTGTTTCTAGAAAAAACGGATTGTCAATCTTGTGAATGGATGACAGTATTCTGTTACAATTTGATTTTCATAAAAATTGATCAAAGAATTAAAAAAACTGCTTGCGAACATTGCTACAGCACTCCACTCAAAGAAGGCAATCACAACACCAGACAACGAACGCAATGTTATTAGACAGTAATAAACACCAAATACTTCCATAACTAAACGAAGTATTTTAAGCGCAGCTAGTTACTTATTTCGAAAGTTGATTATGATTTTCTAGCATACCTTTGAAATAGTCGTCAATATAATGATGGCCGTGCGAATGATCAGGGAGGGTCAGTCTGGATCTTGCCTGACTAATCTCGTTCATTGAGAAAGAACTGCCGAAAGGAGCCTGAAATGCTTTAAACTTGCCCTGATTAGCAAAGCTGCTGCAATACTCCCAGATTCAGTCTCCATGCCTAAGAATTTAAATATTTTATTTCACTCAGGAGCTTCGCTACTCTTACAGAAAAGTGATCTTACAACTCTGCGACATTTTGTGTTACCATGCATAAAAATCAATGAATTAAGAAAACTGATACTAGCGGCAATTACACTACTCCATATGTAAGTTGTCTCCAGCAGAACTCCGGCAGCAGAATTTCTTTTGAATCCATGATACGCCCAGAAAACTGAACAAATGTTGTAAGGGGTGTAACCGATAAGAAATAAACCCAAAACCAAACGAATTGTTTTCACTGCAGCTAGACGTTCTGTTCGAAAATTGAGCACTTCTTTTCGATTGCCAGGTTGAAATCGGAAGACTGCATTTTTGTGGTGTCTCTCAAGAGTTTTTAATGTTCTTGTATTCAGAATGAGAAAAACAGTCATAAGCATAAAGTTAAAAATCACGATGGTCAACTGCCGGTAGAAGGACTCCCATACTACGCTAATTGTGGCAGCAATAAGTCCACTAATAAAACAAGATACAACCAATAGGGTCATCCGATTATTGTTCATCATTGTCTGATATCGAATCGGCTTTGTAACGTGAAGGTACCGATCAACCGAGATGAGAAGTATCATTAAGACCGAAATATATCCCAAAAAAATCACCATAAAATGAAAAGATTTGAGCTCAAGGCAGTTTCTTTGTCTACTTGATATCCAGAATGCTCCCGTCACAGACTGTGCAAAAATTCCCAAGCAAAAATCTGACACTGTCATTATCAGAATAAATTTGTTCGAAAATGTCCGTAACTGCTTCGATTTGTACAATGCGAAAATCAAAAGGGAGTTTGACAGGATATTAAAAAAGGCAAATATAATCAAAATGGCTCCAGCAATTGTTGTATTCGGGTTCTCTGGATTGTTTGGGACCAACGAGAGACAGCGACTTACCACTTCATTTCCTCGTACCATCTTTATCTTTGAAATTTCTTCCTTTTGCCAATCAAAATATACTTTCTTGTCTTGATGCTTTTCTTGTCCTTTTAGTTGCAATCCTCTGAAATTACGATGCGAAAAACGAAAGTGCTATCAATCAATTCCCATTTTAATTAACGTTTCTTTACATTTCCATTTCAATTTAAATCAAATAAAGCTTCAATTGACTTCTTTAATGACTTGTTTAAAGTCTTAGTTGTTTATAAACATTGAAATCTGAAGGTAACTAAAAAACATGCAGAATGGAATCAAATTCAGTTTATTTATCTGGCAACGTATTAGAAAGCCTGAGAGTTTTTGCTTTCTATTGACTTGTAATTAAAGAAATCAAGCGCGATATGATTAATCGCTAAATTCATCTGTCATTTCTTGTTGGGGATACGAGCTGAAACGGCTATTGCCTTTCCTTTTGTTTGTCGCTCAAAGTTTAAATCCAATCAGAGAAAAGTGTTTTAATAGAGCATGCGCAGTTGCTTCCATTTTGCCGCGAAATACTGGTTTCATATCTTGCTTCTCGCAGCTTCACTCGCTTGGATGAAACTGGAGTTGCACGATGTTTTATTTTTATCGTTCTGTTGATGTTTATAAAGTACCTTTCTTGTAAAGGGCCTAGATGGAGTGGAAATCTAAGCAAAATTAGGCTAAAGCACACAGGAATTTAGTCTTTTGTTTGTAGCTGGATTTATTATGAACTGATGGAATTATCATGGCGGGGTTTCGGGTGCAGAACTGTTCTGTTATGTTTATCTATCAAGAAGGGACTGTGAATCGAATAAAAAAGACATCGGGTATTATCACTGTAAATTTGGGAACTATGTCTGGGCCTAACAACATAAATGAAATTGCATCATTAACCAAAGCTTTGATATTAATATCTTCGGTTATCTAAGACCCCGTTTACACTGTCCCGGCACAATTTTGTACCGTTACGGTTCGCAAGTGTTTACACTGTCGCGGTTCCAAATTGTTTCGTTTAGCCGTTCCGTTTACACTGTACCGGTACAGTGTAATGGCTTCAGAATTTAATGGCAGAACATTGTTTAGAAGAAGCTGTATTTAGTCAACCAAGGCTTTTTTTTGCCGCCGAAGTCAACAATCGAATTTTTAATGCAGTGGAAGGCCGATAAAAACTTTACTTGGACGAACGACAAGGTGGCTTTAATTTTCAGTGCTATTTTAGACTACAAAACTGCAAAGTCCAATTAAGGCTTGGACTGGGAAACAATACAAGCCTTTTCTGTGGTTGTCTTTTCTTCAGAATTTCCTTTTCTTCAGAATTTGACAACGTAGTTACGCCACAATCAAAGCCTCGATTACCTCAAACAGCCATACAAAAGACCTCTTTGTGAATCCGTGACAAAATCGTCTCGGATAGGTGTTCACACTGTCCCGTTCAAAAACGGAACCGTGACGGTACAAAATTCGTTCGCTTTCAAAGCAGGGTCCAAACTGTTCCGGATAGCAGAGCAAAATCGTCACGGTTCCACAGTGCTAGTGTAAACGGAAGGTCGAACCGCGACAGTTTTGTCACGGTTCCAAACTTGCACGGGACAGTGTAAACGGGGTCTAAGCCCAATTACGACCAAAAAATCTGTAGGAAACTAGATAACGCATGGGCTCCGACGCTGGTTGGAAAGTTGGGGGGGGGGGCAAGGGAGATTTGAACAATCATAACAATAGATGTTTAAAAAGTTCTATTGTTTCGCTAATTAGTGGGGGTATGGCACCCTCCCCCATGGCTCCCTTTGTCAGAGGCCTGTAACACCCCCTGCTTGCAGCGGAGTTATCCAAATTTACCCCCACTCCCGCAAGTCTTTGATTGTAAAGAAAGGCAAAGTATTCACAATCTTCATTTCTAGATTTATCCCCCCCCCCTTATTTCTGTCGCTGACGCACAAATTAGCCAGTTTAGTTTATTATCTAAACTCGAAAAAAATTTAAAATTTGCATAGTGTTCTTGGTTGTTTGAAACATGCTAATTTAAAACAACTGGCAAGGAAAAAGGCAGGGGCAGAACTGATGCTTTTTACTGAAAAACCCTTGGTCTAAATTGAGTCATGTTAAGGTTATTTGTCACTTCCAAAAAAGGAAGTGGTACTGTAACATTAAGATTACCAGAATTCTGAAACTATGTATCCTTCATCCTAAGATAACCCTTTGCCTGTCTTAAATAATGACCCCTTAGCATAAAAAAGTTTTTGGTGGGGTTGGATCAACCAAATGTTATTTTTTAGTTTAAAAATGGCTGAATTAAGAATTAAAAACTTTTCTTTAACTTGCATGTCACTGAACAAAACAGTGAAAGCTTACTTTTAGTTATCAAAATGGGAAACTTAAGGGTGTACAGACCACTTTAAGGTATTCACAGTTAAACAAACATCCCCTTTAAATCATGCACATACATCTGCAAAAATGAGAAATGGTCAATCAGATAACTCCAGTGAATGCCATATGTTCTTGATTTGTTAGGGAAAGTGAAGGAAAATTCAAGTAATAGAAACATAATTTATTGGTTTTTATGAGGTAACCTATAGCATTTTAAGCATTAGCTTTTGACTGCTGAACTTATAAAAATTGCTTACTTAAAACACGCAGCCTTTCTTAATAGCAGAGAGAGTGACAGACTTCCTCTTCTGTCTTTCTGCATTAGAATGAAGCCTTCTGTCTTTCATACTTTGAAGTGGAGTTACAGTGTTGGTGAACAAATTCATATTGGGGGAAGGGGTGCTGCCCGTAGTGTTACTTCCCATTCAGCAAATAGTTATAAATGAAATGTAGTAGAGTATATAGTTATAAATGAAATGTAGTAGTTTATCTAAATATATTCATGGTATGGGATGTTATGGCTTGGTGTTCTTGTAGAGAAAGGAGTGCATCATCGGAAACATATAGGGTACTGGATGCTGGATCTTGCGTCCTGGGTCCTTGATCCTGCGCTCCGGGTCCTGCATTCTGAGTCCTGGGTCCTGGGTCCTGGGTCCTAGGTCATGCGTCCTTGTTCCTGGGTTCTGGGTCCTACCTTAAGCTACTGGGTCCTTGTTTTTCGGTATGCCTGAAATATTGAACCCAGTCCAGGAATGTTTACAAATGCTGGACGTTCACACTGTGTATACCTTACAAGCAGCTGTGTTATCTTGTTGCCATGAAAACAGTACAGTTTACAAAGATCTACTGAAGGAACTACCAATCAAATCTGCAGTCTATAAAGGAGATTTATTTACAAAGTTACAATGAAGAACGTCTTTCAGTTTCAAACTTCAACATTTTACATAAAAATGAAAAAGCGATATCCAATGTCGTTCATTACTTTACTCACAAACAGCACTGTAACTGGATGACATTATTCTGTAACATTTTGAATTTCCATAAAACTTGATCAGAGAATGCAAAAAACTGCTTGCAAACATTACTACGGCACTCCACTCAAAGTAGGCAATCATGACACAAGACGAGGTATGCATTTTTGAATGGACAGTAGTAAACACGACATAGTTCCGTTACTAAACAAAGTCTTTTCAATGCAGCTAGTTGCTCATTAAGAAAGTTGATATGACTCTCTAGCATACCTTTGAAATAGTCGTCAATATAATAATGAGCCTAGCGGATGCTAGACATTCAGGGAGGGTTTGTCTAGTCTGGATTTTGCCTGACTACTCTCGTTTATTGAGATAGAACCGCCGAAAGGAGCCTGAGATGTGATAAGCTTGCCCTGATTAGCGAAGCTGCAATCCTCCCAGCTCCAGTGTCCATGCCTATGAATTTAGATATTGTATTTTACTCAGGAGCTTCGCTACTCTTACAGAAAAGCGATCTTACAACTTTGCGACATTTTGTATTTCCACGTATAAAAATCAATGAGTTAAAACAACTCACACTAATCGCAATTACAAAACTCCATTTGTAAATTGTATCCAGCAGAACTCCGTCTGCAGAATCTCTTTTGAATTCATGATAAGCCCAGAAAACTGAACAAATGTTGTAGGGGGTGTAACAGACAAGAAATAATCCCAAAATCAAACAAATTGTTTTCACCGCAGCTAGACGTTCTGTTCGATCATTGGGCAATTCTTTTCGATTGCCAGGTTGAAATCGAAAGACTGCATTTTTGTGGTGTCTCTCAAGAGTTTTTAATGTTTTTGTATTCAATATGATAAAAACAGTCAGAAGCATTAAGTTAAAAATCACGATGGTCAACTGACGGTAGAAGGACTCCCATATCACAGAAATTGTGGCAGCAACAAGTCCACTAATAAGACAAGATATAACCAATAGAATCATCCGATTAGTGTTCATCATTGTTTTGTATCGAATCGGTTTTGTAACATGAAGGTAGCGATCAACCGAGATGAGAAGTATCATTAAGGCCGAAATATATACCAAAGAAATCACCGTAAATTCAACAGATTTAAGCTCAAAGCAGTTTCTTTGTCTACTTGATATCCAGAATGCTCCCAGTACAGGCTGTGCAAAGATTCCCAAGCACAAATCTGACACGGTCATTATGAGAATAAATTTGTTCGAAAATGTCCGTAGCTGCTTCGATTTGCGCAATGCGAAAATCAAAAGGGAATTTGACAGGATATTGAAAAAGGCAAATATAATCATAATGGCTCCAGCAATTGTAGTGTACGGGTTCCCTGGATTGTTTGGAACCAGCGACAGACAACGACTTACCACTGCATATTCTCGTAGCATCTTTGTCTACGATATTTTCCGTCTTTTCAATAAGAATATACTTTTTTATCTTTGTGCTTTTCTTGTCCTTTTAGTTGCAATCCTCTGATATTACGATGTGAAAAATGAAAAGGCTGCGAACCATATACCATTTCAATTAGATTTGCTTTACATTTCCATTTCAATTTAAATCAAATAAAGCTTCAATTGAGTTCTTTAATGACTTGTTTAAAGTCTTAGTTGTTTATAAACATTGAAATCTGAGGATAACTAAGAAACATGCAGAATGGAATCAAATTCAGTTTATTAATTTTCAAAGTGTTAGAAAGCCTGCACGTTTTTTTCTTCTATTGACTTAGAATGAAAACAAAATTAAACACGGAATGTTTAATCGCTTAATTCAGCTGTCATTTCTCCGCATCGGATATGGAATGCATATTTCGTAAATTGAAACATACCGGAAAGAAGGACCAAGGACATTGAGGCAGGACCCAGGACTTCGGACGCAGGACCTAGGGACCAGCACAAACGACCCACGACCAAGGACCGTATATGTTTTCGATAATAGACTCTTTTCTTTATAAGAACACCCAGTCACCAATCAGCCATTGGGCTGGCAAAGGCTATAGCCCTCCCCCCACTTTTTGCCATAATAGGGTAGAAAATTTGTTTGAATGATTATGCTAAACAATGTTTGAATGACTATTGCATGTCAGTGATGTGGTTCTTAATTTTGTTACTGCACCTTTTGTTTATCTGTAGTCAGTTGCCATGCCATGTCTCATTAGTTGTCATCACTTGTTGTCAGCATCCTATTGTCTCTTGGTCATGTGAATTTCCTTGCTGTTTTATGTTGAGTCAGTCGTTATATAAAGCCATCAAGTAAAGTAGTGTCGAAGCCATGCCATTTAGCGAAGTTACCGTTACGTGGAATCGTTATTAGTAGAGTTGATCGCTGCCGTTGCTTTTTGAATATTTAATAACCGCATTGTTGATTTTTCTATACAAATAATACTGCTGCTAATTAAGTTTTTGTTCTTGATTTGAAGCAGAACATCCGAAAAAACTTCGTAGTTTTACATTGGTACCCCGTGTGAGGAACTCGCGACCTTCTCTAGGAAAACATGTTTTCGTTGGAGGAATTCAAGTATTTGGCAACAGAAATTGTGACCACTATGTGTGCCGACATGGCTGGAAGGCTGCAGTTGGCAGA